ATAACATTATATTTATGATTTTTTTTCTTCCTTCAAAGGTTACAGGATGCGGACTTTGTTAAGTCCAAGGATTCTCATAAATTGGAATAATTCAGGCCCATTAACGTTCATTCTCTAACTAACAAACTGGAATTACCTCAACGCATAAGTGCTCATTTGAATGTCACAATACGTGAAAAATGACACAATCAGCAGCGCTTTGAGCTCCACTGGAACAACAACCATCATATTTAATGCATTCACCTGAAAGGCTTTTCTTCTCCATAGCCTGATACATGACACTCTAGTGTGAGTTTTCTTCGGACTTGAATGTGAAAATGGATTAGAGAGAAAAGACCGTAATGAATGTGGAAAGTAAAAGAGACAAACAGCTCTCTATTGAGATGGACAAAAATAGAATGCTCTCGCCTTAAGTGAAAGAGATATTCTCTCCATCAAATTCACATGAAAAATAAGAAAATGTTATTATTTAAAAAAATTCAGCAAACATTTCACTGATAAATATTTATACAAAATATTATATTTTTCTCTTTCCTTTTCATCCGAGCAGCGCCTCGTTTCATTTGCGCCACATCAAGCTGCATCATTATTATCATTCATTAATTTAATTGGTGAGAAAAAAGATGAAAACAACGATTGCCTGCGTCGTCTTTTTCACACCGGTACGCCACACGGCCGGCATGATTCCCATTGCCTTCTTGCAATTATAAAGTGAAGTGGAAAGAGAGAAAGAAAGAAAGCTTTTCCCCACATCTCTCATGTGTCTCATGTAAATGCATCTCGCAACAGATTTATTTGGTGCATCTCGTGCTCTTTGGCTTTGAATGGCATAGGAATGATGCCACGCGGCGCCGTGGATCAAGATGTCCAATTTCCGAAATCGCTTGTCCGGAGCACGCAATTCAAATAAAGAGTTTCATCTTGTTTTTTTCATCTGCACGTTTTTTTTATACACACACAAAAAAAATGTGTTAATTTACTTATTCGGCTGTTTAAATTTTAATTTAGTACAAATCAGCTTTTAAATTGAGATTCGTATTACTATTTTTTAGCAGAAGCCAAAAGTTGAAAATTTTTAAATTTTATATTATTATAAAAAGCAAATTATGAATTGATACAACAGAGATGAAAACATGTAACATAGGTTTGTTTACATAATTATATGAAGAGAGTAATTAGAGCTAGTTATTAATATTCAAACAATATAATCAAATTAAATTTTAGCTATATAACAAATTTTTACTTGCAACTTTTGCAAGTCAACTGTTTATCAATAAAAAATGTAAATTATAAAATAAAATATATACATTTTATAGAATAAAAAAAGGAAGAAAATATTTTTATACTTTAATAGTTAATTTTAAATATAATTTTTGTCTGTAAAAATTAATTGAATTTAATAAAGATTAATTACGAATAAATTATTTATAATTTTTGATGGAGCGCTCTTTTAAAAAGTTCACCGCTTGTAATGGAAAAAAGAGAAAATTATACAGTTTATAATAAAAATACGCTGCTCTTTTCAATTTAAGGTTAGATCATTACTATAGTTCTATGGAAGCGAAGTAAAAGTGTATCATCTGCCGGCAGGCTGTTAATTTTTGTAGAAAAGAGAGTGAAAGACCAAAATATATATATTAGATTACAGTTGCAGCGTGCGGTAGCAAAAGGTATCATTTTGAAGGAGCACTTTCACGTGCGCGCGTGGATAAGGTGAATCTCTATTTTTTTTTCTCTCATTCTACCTCCGGGCCACAATTCGGTTTCATATTTTCTACTGTTGCATGTTCGCGCTACCGGCTGTTGCTGGGAATTAAAAGTTAAGCGTCGTCGTGTGATTTGAAAAGGGAAACGCCGCTCGTTTATTATCGTCGCAGCACTTCCACCGCTTTTGTAACAAACTCATAAAAAACTTCAACTTGTGCGCATCGATCGTTTTATTGCTATCATCGGGAGAAAACAATTCAAACAAACAACCGTCCATCCTCCTGCAAAACGATAAATTATGAATGCAATTTTGTCTGCAGCTACAATGTTGCTAAGCAAGTGAAGGCCACGGAGAAATCATTGCAACATGTTCGAAAGGAAATTAATACATTTTGTGGTCATGTATGTACGTGAACTTGAACTATAGAGGTAGTGATTATTTGCAGAGAGCTCTCTTTTGATTAATACTCGCGAGCAGAAATTAGAGATAACGTCTTGATTGCTGGGTGAGCTCAAAGCTTTGCGGAGAGATTGTTAATTTGGATGAAATACTGCTCTGGCAAAATCGTAAATCACTGTAAATGCCACTGTTGTATTTGGGTTGAGAGACGGGATGGGAAAGAAATTCAAGAAGACGCAGTTGAATCCAATTCTAAGTAAAAGATGAGATGATTTTTTTTTTCTTTAGATTTGGGAATTTAAACCCATTTTAAAAATTTAACTTCAACTTGATGATCACCTCAGAAAAAATTAAACCAAATCAAAAGATTCATTTGAAAAAGAACTTCAAGTTACATTCCACAATGTTGACTTTTTTTAAACAAGTTCTTCATTAAATTAAGGCACGCAACCTTGCCTCGTCCTTGACTGCGGTGCATCTTGGCGCAGGTGCGCGGCCCCTGAGGGCGCAGATGGATGCAATAAAAAATGCACCATGAGCGGCGGAAGAGAAAATACGTTTTTGGTTTTTATGTGCACAACCTAGTGCGTGATGTTTGAGTAGGAAACCGCAAAGAGAAGAACAAAAGGTGCAGCCGTAAATCAGCGTTATTAAATTGTTTGATTTTAGCCGGCGAAAAGGCAAAAGAGAGGAAATTAAACCAGAGAGGGAACAAAGTTTCTCTCTCGCGCGCGCGCATATTAAAATGTAATGATTTTTTTCGAGCTCTCTGGAGTAACCTTTCTCTCAAGTCAGTCAGGCCTACATTGATCGGAGGCGGGTAAACCCTTCTTGTTCTCGGCGCACACCACTCGCACTCTCATTCAAAAGTGGAACAAATAGACCGAGCCGCGGTGACTAAAAGGCTGCATAGAGATTTGAACGCCCGGCTAATTGTCCGTCCGATGAACAGTGAAAGGTGTAAAAAAAAATCATGATTTTGAAGAATGAATGGATTTTTTATTCACTTTTACTTCTTTCTAATGTATTCTTTAATACAAAACAACAAAGGATAGCTTTTACTGTTTTAGTGTGAATAATAATTCACCCAGGTAAAAAAAAGTTAAATTTAAAATGATTTCAAGCGGAGAACAATAAAATAAACCTGGAAAATCAAAATCAGTAATCATTAGATCAATTTTGATTTAATTTAATACAAAACCATTAAATTAAAAAAAAAATATTTTTATGATTTAAAACCATTTAATTTACCTACGATCTTCTTGTAGAGTTTAATTTAAAAAAAAATCAGTACACTAAAATTTGGCTTTAATACAAAAATAAAATGAATTTTTAATTTTTAATTAAAACCTTTTTTTAATTTCTTGATCAGAGTGATTCTCATAATATTTATTTTTACAAAGAATAAATCCTTTCATTTCCAAGCCCTTCAAAGCTTGTGTTTATTCTCACTTCTTAATTTGCAATTTTCTTTTCAAGGGCGTCGCTGTGAGAAAAATTAAACAAACCATTGTCTCTTCTTTTTATATAAATATGTATACAAAAATTGTCCACATTAAGCGCAAGCACTCGACGTTTGCATGGGATTTGAGATTCAAGTAGGCAAAATTCACACAATGACAAGGAGCAAGATGACAATTTAACCGCGCAAGAATTACTAATGAAGTGAAATTTGCAGCGCACCTTCTTGAATAAGCAAAGTATGCGCACCTTTTCACTTTTTAAAAATGCATTTGCATCAAACGACAACGACACGCGCATTACTAATTACACACCACGTGTTTTCTTGCCATCAATGTCTTTTGGCTCCTCTTTAAAATAACAATTGTGTGCTTTCTGGGTAATGGTCGTGAACGGACTCGCTGCGAAAAACCATCAAGAATGCCCGCGAGGCGAACATGCACGGCGGTTTTTTAAACTTTTAATTTGCTCTTGTCCCATGACCTTAGCAATTTCAGGCGCGCTATTTTCCTCTTTTTTCAGGTCTCCTCACCACGTGAGATTTTTCGCGTATATTTTGGCAGAAACTGTATCGGAGTAAAAGAGAAGAAGTGCCTTTGTATGGTGCGGTGAGTGCACTTATCACACCTCATTGTGCTTTTTACGCTCGACGTGTTCGCTAAATCTCTGCTTTTTTATAAATTTCATTCTCGACGCCAAATTCCGTTCCACCGGAGTTCAAACTCTGTCTTGCACTCTCTAATTATATACATCAATTATTTCCTCAGAAAAATATTCGCGTACATGTATATTTTGAAGAAGGTTTCACTTTTGAAAAGGGAAAATATCAAGGCATAAATTATTTAATTATCAATTAACACTGCAGAAGTAAAAGTAAATTGCTCAAAATTACCCATTACCAAATTAGCAAGTTATTAACAGACAACTTGCTATTTTTATAAGTATGTGTTCATATGGACCTTAAAATCGCAAACAGTGCGTTTGTTGTACTAAAAAAGCGATGATTTGCAAAATTACACCTTCAGAAATCGGCACATTTCTTTTTTGACGGACGTTTGATGAGCATAGAAGCTTTAATATTGCGTGATTTGGCACAGTCATTTTAAATTATGAAACTGTCAACAACCGCCAACAATAAACAATAACAAAAGTTATAAAGTAACTTAATTCAACTTGTTACCCTCTTAATTTTCCGTTTAATTTATATACACTTTAATTAATTAAAAAAAATACGTTTCAATGTAATTTGTATAATTTGATCACTTTTTGCAGTGTCTGAAGGTTTTTTAATCTAAAGATCTTCCCTCAAATGAGCACCACCCAATTAATTATTTGAAAATCGGCAGACCTTGTAAATCTTCAAATATTATAAATAAATAAAAATCTGATTATTAATTATTTAATTAGTTCAGATAAATAAAATTTTGCCTACCTTTTGCTGCATAGGGAGAATGGAGATGTGCTGAGGTATGTTTGGCATCCCTTGGCCCGCCGCCGGAAGGACTGCGACATGCTCAATTGAAACGATTCAAATCCGAAAAGGGTTTACAGAGAATGGACCAGAGACAGACACCGGCGTTGATCCATGAACGAGGAAAGTCGACTTGCTGGTTTCGAGTGGAATGAAGATGAGCAGCGATTCATGAGCGCCGCGGGCGGGCCAAAAGGGTTGCCAGACTGGGAGGGTGGGTTTTTCTTGTTGAGTCTCACCGCGGCGAGACGGATTGTTTGGTCAGGCAGGTGAGCTGGGCCAACACCAGAGGGAAACTAAAAGTCTCCAAGTGGAATCGAGACTCGGGATAACCCTCTCCTCTTTCTTTCTCTCCGAGACGGGAGAATTTTATTCCTTCATTTCGCCGCTCCTCCCCGCCCCGGCGCAACCAGATTAAAATTTTATACATAAACGTGTGCATTGTGTAGTTCCTCAGGTATGATGCAGCTTTCTCTGCCTGCCACGGCCAAGGCTGCCTCCGAAGAAAGAGAGAGCGTCCGCGCCGCCGTACGATGCGAGAGTCTCTTCTTCGGCTGCTCTTTTTATTGCACCAGCCGCCTTCCAAATGCGTGATCTCTGTGACATACTGCTCGCGGATTTTTCTCCCAATTTTTTTCATTGTTTTTTTTCTATATCCACCCATACAAATTTTGCAAGCCAATTCCTGTGATTAAAATCTCTCAATTAGACACAAAAATGAACAAATGAATATTTTAAAAGCAAAATAATTAAGATCTCTCTACAAATTACTCTATACAACGTTCTTATCATTTTAATCAAATTGATTTGAAGACAATCCGTTTCAAAATACATTGTTGGCTTCAAGATTTTTAATAAACTAAAATAATGAATAATAACCTAACTTCACACAACTTTTTCATAATATCATTTATGAATAAAAGAAATATAATAAATTACAGATAGCATAGAAATATATATTTATAATTAAAAAAATTTAAACATTAAATAATAATACTTATATTTCAATTATTAAAAATGTTGTATATATATTCTATTTTAAAATAAAAAAATTTTTAATTTTAAATAATATTAAAATAAAAAAAATAAATGGTATAATTTTTGGAAGACATACAGAATAAATACAACATTTTATAATTTTTTTTAACAATTATTTATGGTACATAATATTAACTAATAAATATTAAAAATTACATTTTTTGTAATTTCAAGAATGTTTTTTATTAATTTTAAATTTAATATATTATAAAATTTATAAATTATAACGCATAATTAAGATGATAGGCTTTACTGCTAACTGTTCAGTTTTCATTAATTCCCAAGAAATTATGTTATTTTTATAACTCACATTCAAAATATGAGGCCTATTGGAATCACAATCTATTTTGTTACAAAAAATTTTCAGAAATTATAAGTATCAAGAAAATTATGTAAAATTTTAAATACATCTCTCTTAACAATTAAGCTGTTAATAAAAACTGCGTATGAAAAATTAATTAAATATCTTGAATTTCTCTCTTTTTCACCATACAATAGGTTCAAACAAAACTTATTTAAAGAAACTGAAAAAAAAAAAACATAAATTGCTGTTGGTCCTCTCAATTTAGCTAAATGCTATTCTTTTACCAAGCATTTAGCAAAATTGAGAGGACCAAGTGCAGAATATGAAACCGCACTTTATGAATCATACAAATAAACACAATTAATTTAATTATACATAAAAATAAATAAAATTAAATACATAACGTTGCAATACTTTTCGTTTTCTTAAATATCTTATAATTATACAAATATTTAATTCTTTCGTTGGAAAATTATCTTAAACATTTCAGGGCCTGATATTCAATTTTTTAAATTAAAAAAACTCTCATGAGGATGATGCATTCTCAGTTTCACCTTTGAAAATCTCTTTGTTCTTTTCCGCGCCCCAAATAAAATAGCGAGTGCATTTAAATAAGCGAGAATAATGTTGTAAGCGTAAAAGAGAAGAAGAAGAGTAAATCACGGCAGGAGAGCGAAGGCGACTATAATGATCGGATGCAGAGTGTGTTGTGTACGGAGTATAGTGTTTTAGCGGCGCGCTCTGCAGAGGAAGAACTTTCAGGTCATTATGCAAGTAGGTCGCACTTTGTGTGAGAGAAACCAATATTTTGTTTTTGCCTCGTGGGTTGTCACCTCGCCTGTCATTTCGATGCTGCGCTTTGTGTAAATTCAAATTTATGTAATTGGTCGAATGCTAGTCCTGTCGATTAATCTAAAAATATAGTAGGTCCCAACAACCATAAAAGAAGCCATCTAACCTGCAGTACGACGACAGCAATATATAATCTGAAATTCTAAAATGACGAGGAAAATATTTCTGCTCCAAATAAGCAGGTTAAAAAAATTACAATTCCGCTATGATTAACAAAACGATTTCGCACTAATATAGTCATTTTAATTCAGTTATATACTATAATATATAATATAGCTGGAACAAAATTTCAATAGTGTTTTATCACTTTTTTGAGCAAATTTCTGCTATAATAATCAAATATTTATTATTTTTATTAAATTTGTTTGAATACCTTACAATTTTATTTCATGTCTTTACTGTATAATACAAGTGTACAGAAAAGCAGCATTATTTTACATTAAAACTCAATTCAGCCGTGCTAGTTATGCATTCCGCTCTGCGTCCGTATAAGGACGGTTGCAGCCATGTCCGTAAAAATGCATTTTTTTAAACAATAATTAAAATTAAAAGACTAGTTAATAGTCAATGTCCGTTGGAATGTTGAATTTTAAAAAATAAAGAAATAAAGCAGAAATTAAAAAATGCTTTTAGATCAAGAAGCAATAATGACTTACTGTATGAATAATAACTAAAATAAATGATCATCACGGATCATCATAATCATAATCAAATGGGGGCCAGCAACGTTATCAATTTTTCATTATTTGTGGAATAATGAGAATAAATGGAACCGATTTGGATTGGATAAAACAACAGTGAAAATAAAATTTCACTGCTGGACTAAGACCCCACTTTATCACACTGAAATTTTTTAATGGTCGAAACTAAAACGCTAATATTTTTAATTATTCAAAGTTCAAACACTCATATCTTTCCAATTAAAATTAATTACATGAATTTTAAATGCAGAATAATAATACATTCAAATAAATTCTGAAGTTTAATAATTGCACCAACGGTTTATGCTAAATAAATAATTAACAAATAACAATAAAAAATCAATTATGCGTGTATCATATGTCTTTGCTACTCTTCAGCAGAGATTAAGGAGAAAAATTGATGATGATAAATTTTAAATAAAAAAATTCAGAAAGGGCAATTTTATCATCACACCCGCATCATAATTTCATAATATAAGAAGAAGTATCTTTAAAAATAATTCGCTTTGTTATGCAATTTGCTGCACAGGCAAACGAAGTCATGAGCTGTGATACATGTTCATAATAGGAATTTTCTTGTTTCTGATCTGATTTCCGATTGGCCCAGAGATGAAATTCTTTTTCCTTGCCTTGCAGAACTATATGCGCAAGTGCAAGAGGAACTCACAAAATCTCAGAGAACATTCATTGCTTAATTATTTTGCTTTGCTTGCAGGTAAGCGTAAGCTGGGCAGTTCACCATTTTAAACTTGATTTTTCTCGTGAAAAATTAATTTCCCTTGCAAGAAAAGTGCTCGCGAATAATTCTGAAATTCGTTTTGCTTCAACCCGCGCGTTCTTGTCCTCGCCGGTCCATGGCAGAGAATTCTGTAAACGACCGTGTCATTTTGCTTTTTTTGCAGACATTTTTCGTGTTACTAGTGTTCGTTTTCATTCCGTTCTTCTTGAAGAACGTTTTGTTGGACGACCGTGAGGATTTCGTTGAGGACCTAGACTGATCAAAAGGTAGGAATGTCTATTGCTAATTAATTTTCATAAATTTACACACCCCATGTTTTTACATAATCGAGCAACAGTTATGTCTGCATAATGTAAATTCCAAAAATGGGTTTTAAGCTGCTTAAAAGTTTTGAAGAAAAAGATCAATGCAACACTCTTCGTTTTATGTACATGTCTTTCATAATTTCGAAAATTCGCATGACAAAATTTAAGTTAATTCATCCTTTATCCTTGTCGAACAGATCAGTTAAATCTCCAAAAATGGATCCATACCACCGAGATGTCCAGAGAGGCAGAGGCCGTGGACAATTTGGACAAACCAATTTGCCCAATCCAACTGGAGTGGCCAGTGGCAGTGGTCCAGACCAGAAATACTCGAGTGGCTATGGTTCAGATGGGTTCTATTCCACTCTCGGCTCATCCAGCATCGTAAGTTGTAAAAATTCAGCTCGATCTATTTTGAAAATTATGCAAATAGGACGCAGCCTCCTGTGCCGGTGATGACACAAGGAAAGTCATTGAAGTTGCAGCTCCCGATCATGATACTCGTCCTTCCTCTTTGCTCGGAAGAGGTCGAGGAATTGTCGAATCTCAACTACGGCAAGAAGCTAAAATTGGCACAAGGTATAAATTTCTCATTATTGGAATTAAATTTTTATACAAGAAAATATTTTAGGTCTCTGCAGACCGCTCAACAGCCCATCGAAAACTTGATGGGGAAACTGTCCCTTGAAAAAATCGAGAGCCTCCCTCAACAGGAACCCATCCTAAAGCATGGAGTGCACGGTCAAAGGTGTGCTAATATTTTCATTAATTACGTTAATCACTCTTTTAATATGACATTTTGCAGCATTGACTTGTGCACCAATTACATTCACTTGAATTTGATCCAAGATTTCAAAGGGGTTTACGAATACGAAGTCCAGTTTGAGCCTCAAGTCGATGCTCTTTATGTTCGATTTGAGCTTCTGAAGCAGTTGAAGGACTTTATTGGCACAACTAAAACGTTTGACGGTGTTATGTTGTACCTGCCCTTTCCCTTTGAGCAAGAGGTTATTATTTATTGAGAAATTTTGTTATTTTCAATTTTATTGCCTATTTTACAATAATTAATCATATATGCAACTTTTAGGCCAACTCCTTTGATCTTCAGCACCCCTTTGATGGATCAGATGTGAATGTGAAAATCGTCCTTAGAAAGAAACAAGCCATGAGAGATTGCATCCAGCTTTACAATGTTCTGCTGAAAAGAATCATGACTGAGCTGAAGTTGGCGCGCCTCGGCCGACACTTCTTTGATCCGAGGGGAGCCAAATTGATTCCTCAACACAAGTATGTATACAAAATTTTATACAAATTTAAAAAAAATCATTTGTTAAAAAGGCTGGAGGTTTGGCCTGGATATGTGACTGCCATTGACGAATATGAAGGTGGGCTTTTGCTTTGTTGCGACACATCTAGTAGGGTTCTGCGCACCCAGACTGTATTGGAACTCATGTAAGATTTTTTAAATTAAATCAATTTATATTATTTTTTCCAATTTTATTTAAAGGTATGAAGTTTCCATGAAAGCTCGAGAAAGATTTCAAACTGAAATGAAAAATATGCTTTTGGGAGCTTGCGTCCTGACCAGATACAACAACCGCCTCTACAGAATTGACGACATTGATTTCTCTCTCAACCCTACCTGCACCTTTGACCGATACAACGGAGGGTCAATCTCCTTCAAGGAATATTATCTCAAGCATTACAATTTGGAAATCAAAGATTTGAGCCAGCCCATGCTGATGAGCAGAATTAAAAAGAAGCAGAAAGGGATGGAGGTTTGATAAATAATTTCATGTTATAAATTGATTACTCAAATAAAAACATATAATTTATTAAGACATTGGAACAAATTGTTGTCCTGGTACCAGAACTTTGCTTCATGACAGGACTGACTGACGAGATGAGAAATGACTTTAAAATCATGAAAGATATTGCAGTTTACACAAGAGTGACGCCGAACCAGCGGCACTATGCTCTGCGCCAGTTTGTTAATTCAGTGAGAGGTAAAAAGAAAACTGAAGAAATAAAAATTATCCTCAGTATATTTCAACTCCATTTAAAGGCAATGCCAATGCAGCTGCAATGCTTGCTAGCTGGGGCCTTGAGCTGGACTCGAAAACAGTTGAGCTTCAGGGCCGAGTTGTCGATAGGGAAAGAATTATTCTTGGAGACGCTGAGATTGACAGTGGCCCAGCTGCAGACTGGGGGAATCAGTTGTCCAGGGGAAGGGCTTTTGAAGCAGTAAGTAGAATACAATATCCAATTTTTATTACCATATAGATGTGATCAGTACATTAATTTAATTTGTCAAAATTAAAGGTAGACTTGAAGAACTGGATTGTGCTTCATTGTCCTCGAGACGAGAGGTGTGTGAGGGACTTGATCATCAATATGCTGAAAATGGGTCCACAAATGGGCTGCAAAATTGAGAGCCCAGATCTCGTTCCTTTGCCTGACGACAGGACTACTACCTATGTTGAGGCGCTGAGAGATGTCATTGATGGAGACACAGAGGTACTTTATAAAAAAAATGTTTCAATGTGAATTAATATAATAATTACCTTGTCTATACTTTAGTTGCAGCTCGTTCTGATTATGTTTCCGTCCACCAGAGACGACAGATATGCTGCCGTCAAAAAAATTTGCTGCTCAGAGTTACCAATTGCTTCTCAGGTTTAACAATTCTAAATTTCTAACTAAAAAAATATTTAAAAAAAAAAAAATTATTTTTTATATATTTTTTTTACTGTCAAAACAGGTGGTAATTAGCAGAACCCTTTCAAGACCAGACAGAGTCCGCTCAATCGTCCAGAAAATTGCTCTTCAGATTAACTGCAAAATTGGAGGCTCTCTTTGGAGCATCAAAAACCCCTATGTGAGAGATAATTATTTAATCAAATGTTTTCATAAAAATCTGGTCATACTTCTTTAGAAAGGCTGTATGGTTGTTGGTATTGATGTCGCCAATCAGAAAGGCCAGCCTAGTGTGACTGGGTTTGTCAGCTCTTTGAACCCAGCCCTGACCCACTGGTTCAGTAAAGTAGCAATCCAAAATTCAACTCAGACCATGAGCAATGCACTCCAGCCAAACTTCATCAAAGCTCTCCAGCGCTATCATGCTGTAAGTATATTAGTTAAAATATAACCAGTACAAAGCTATTTTTTTTAAACCTTTAGGCCAATGGCGCACTCCCTGACAGAATTTTTGTTTACCGTGATGGGCTCGGCGCTGGGATGATGTACAACGCTCTGGAATGGGAAGTTCAGCAAATCAAGGATTCTTTCCAAAAACTGTCCTCTGAGTACAGCCCAAAGCTGTCTTTCATCGTTGTCCAGAAAAAACCAAGCACTCGTCTCTTTGCTGTGAAAGTAAAAATTAAAAATTATTTGTTTGAATAAAATTTTTAATTTTTTAATGCTTTAGGGGAACAACTTGGACAACCCTCCTCCAGGAACCATTGTTGACCACACGATCAACGAGAGGTACAAGTACGACTTCTTCCTCGTCTCGCAAAACGTGCGCCAAGGCACTGTGAGCCCTTCCCATTATATTGTGCTCTACGACAACTCCAGCATCAGCCCCGACCACGTGCAGCGCTTCTCGTACAAATTGTGCCACATGTATTACAATTGGCCAGGCACGGTCAGGGTCCCAGCACCATGTCAGGTATTAGTGCGCGCATATCTGAAAGAAATCAAGTTGCAAACTTTTATTTCTCTTTCTAGTATGCAAACAAACTGGCCACTTTGGTGTGCATGCACACAAAGAGAGAACATCACACCAAACTGGATGAGCGCCTCTTCTTCCTGTAAAAACCTGATGTGAGTTTCTTCATTTTTATTTTTTAATAAAAAAGCTGGAAAGCTGCTTTGGATTTGTTCAAATTGACACTTTGCAAGAATGCTTATTGTGGTGACAATTTTAATGCTTTTAATCTGGATACCCCGTTCCAATTTGAATTGTGAACATTTTCAAGTTTAATTTTTATGATCTGATTGTGAAAATAAGTGCAAGTATTTGAAAATAATAAGACTACATATGTAACAAGAAACTAAAGAACTGGTCCATTTGTTCCTGTCTCATTTTCTTAAAACAAAACAGCAACTTGTTTCTTTGTCTATGTAACTTGATTCAATTTATTTTATTATCATTGTCAAACTGAATTGAAACTATCCTCTTTTCAGAACGAAAAAACAATTTTTAGTGCCTTTTGCCTTTTCATTTTTAGACGCAATTAATATTTCAGGCTCTTAAAATTTTTAAAGATGTAATAAAGATGTTAACAGGAAATACATAAAATTAGTTAATTAGCTCACAAAAACAGCCTTGCTTTGCTGGGCTATATTTTTTAGTATATCAAAATACAATATTTTAGCAGGGCCATGTGTATCATGTGTATGGGCACTTGATAGTTGTGTGTCACCTGGTGTCACCGTACACCAAGTTTGGCAGGACTTCTTGATTTTTTTTGTAAATAATTTGTGTAATGTTGTCAGCATTTGTACACTAAACAAATCAATAACTTAGTAATATTAATAAAAATATATCAAAAATTTTTAAATGCGGATTTTTAATTTTTAACTGTAAATGTAATTTTGAATATATTTTAGGTGTATAAATAGGTTATGTAAGGTATTTTTGATTGAATTCTGCATGCGAGACAGAAATGATATTTGTTACAAAAGAAAATTCAATATAAATAATATAATGCAAAAATTTTTACTCTAAAAAACTCTATAATTCATATTTTTTAAAAAAAACATGATTCCAAAAAAGGAAGACAAAATGGGAATACTATTTTGTGAGGATTATTTTAATTCGACTTAAAAATGTAACAGTTGAACAAATTTAAATTAAATTTGTACACTCAAATTTTTTATGATATAATGTAACCTGTGCACATCAATTACAATAACGTAATTTTTTTATAACTGTCTTAATATTTTGCTATCTTTTTTTGTAATTAATGGTAATTAATTCTTTGAGGAAATTAAAAGTGAGGTTCGTCAAACTATCAAACTATGAGGAAAGAGCAGGACACACAGAAAAAAAATAACTAAAATAAGTATAAATGGCATAAATGTAGCGAAAAAGAATTAATGCGCGCGACACTGCGTATAGCGCTACCTGTGATTAGACGATAAAATTTTTCTCGCCATAATCGTTCGGCTTATTACGTCAACTTCCGTGCGAGGCGCAGTCAACACTCGGCGGCCCCATACCATGGCATACACGACGACGCACACAACCAACCAACAGAACGAATGAATGTAATTCGAAGCCATCTTGGAGAGATAAATCAACACAAGAGCGCTCGCAGCCGTGTTTATTTGTTCGGCAGTCGGTCGTCGGCCAGCGGAAAGCGTTCGCCGAGTGCGTGCACCGGTTCGGCAAGTCGGCAGCGGCCGTTTTGAGTCGGCATCCGAGGTAAGCGACGCCGAATTTCGCCACAATCGGCGTGTTTTGCCCGCGACTCGGCCCGTGTTTATCGCGCGCCATCAACATCTTGCCCGAGCCGAGCCGTTTTTCCGCAACTTGAGCCTCCCTCGCGCTCCTTTTTCTTATTACTTGACTGCAGAGTGGCGGCCGGTGGCCGCCTCACGGCCGTTGGCCGCCGGTGGAGCGTGCCGCGGCGGGAATTTAAACCGAAAGCGGAGGAACGGATCGGCTGGCCAAGATGGCGGCGGCCGCCTATGTGCGATGCTTCTTTTGCGGCCGCCTAGAGACGCCCATCGGCCGCCGGCGCGGCCGCTCTCCTTGAAAAACTCGCCCGGCGGCCGATTTGCGTCCGGGGGGCCGCTTTGGGGGTTGATCGCCCCACGCAAGGGGCTCACAGGGGCTATTTTGGTTTGACCGACGAGCAGGGATCTCGGAGGTCGGCAGTCGCGCGGGGGAAAGCGGTGGGTTGGCCTCTCGTCCGGCCCGGCTCCCGCTTGCGTCACCCGGCCACCCGTTCCTCGTAGAATTCGTCACTTCAGACAACTCGCACGTTCTAGATTTACTTTTTTTCATGTTTGTCTGTCTCTTTTTCAATCAATTACTGTTATTTTACTTCATTTCGCCGCACTTTACACAGACTTCCTGTTTACCTGTCGACGTCTCCGTCTCACCTAAATGTTTTATTTTTTAGTGATCATTCTAATTTGAATTTTGTAAATTTTTGAATATCTATTTTATTAATATGTTTAAAGAAATATTTAATTTTTTAAATTACCCGGGAACTTCTTTTAAGCATTGAATTTATTACTCCAAGTGTTGGAAAAAATGCGGGGTCACTCCTGCCGAGCAGTCACGAACAGAGCAATTTGTGCATCATTATCTTCTCTCTGTCCGTGGAGAAACCTCGCCTATATGTATCGTGGTCACACACGAGCTTCGAAGGCTTTCCTCGATTTCCGATCTTTCATTCCCTCGCACGGCTTCATCCTATTAATCTTAAATTCAACATTTTTATTGGCATTTTTTTATTGTTTACATTCAGATTATTTAGTTAATCCGAGATAATTAAATTAAGCAGACCGATTAAGTCTATTTATCATTGGGAGCGCGGTCTTGGACTATTATAGACGACCGCGTGAGGCCAAAGAGCCCAAGGGCATTTCACTTTTGATTACCCAGCCATTCTAGGCGATTCTTTATACCTGCGTACAAAGCCTTAGTAAATATAATAATGCTATTCATGGAAGCGACGAGAGGGCGAAGACTTTTTTAGTGCCCCTATTCAAACTTCCGGTTTCAAAATTCCCGTGACAGAAAAATAAGGAGTTTTATTATCACTTTCAGAATTCGTATGATATTTGTACATAAGACAGGATAACATTAAAAAAAGTCACTTGCGCTGAGTTTCATAATTTATTGGATTTTTTTTTTAGTTATTTATAAATAACATTATTTTAGTACATTTTGATTTATATTTTATATATTTGAAGTCAATTGCTTGTCGTCAATTATTTTATCATAAAATTATCTATAAATTGCTAGAAATTAATTTTTTTAATATTTCGGTGAAATTAAATTCAATGAATATTAAAATATATATTTAAAATTAAGATCTAGAAGAAAATTTTTAATTAATTTTATTTTTCCAATGTAATCTACATAATAAAATCTGGCAAACATATATTTATATAATTGAGATTTTTTTTGGAATATAAATAAAGTAGAAGTTATTAGATGAAAATTTGTAAGTTTTAACATAAAAAGCCGCTTAATATTCAGTTTTTCATTACTCATAAAGTACAGATAGTGCATTCAGGCTACCATTTCCTTGCTTAATCTGGTTAGTTGTCACCAAAGTGACTCATCAGTCGGGGACACGTTCGTCAAAAACTTCATTTTTGGCATTTCCGTCACTCCTTTGGGCATTTTCAACTTTTTCCTCAAACGTAACATTTTTGAAGGTTCATTTGAGTAGAAGAAGAAAAAGAGCCGCCCCATGTATATCTCAAGTGGTGGTGCTCTGCTTTCAGATAGACAAAAACATAAAGTCGGCGGAAAATTTGATGGGCGGCGGATCGGTCGTGCAGGAGAGGATGAGCGACGGTTGTTGTTCCCAAGAGCAGCAGCAGCACCGACGAGAATGAGAGAAAGCAGCAGCAGCGGCGACGCGGGCCACGCCGGCTGGCTGCGCTGGATCACGGAGGCGATCCACAAGATCCGGCAGCAGAAGCAGCGGCCCTCGCTGGAGCGGATCGCGCACACCGTCAAGCACCAACACCCCAAGGCCGACGAGGACTGCGTCGAGGAGCACGTGGTGCGCGCCGTGCGCGACGGCACCCTCGTCAAGGTGGTCAAGAAGGGCGTCGTGTCCTTCGTGCCCCCAGAGGCGGCCGCTCTCTCCAACCGCCACGTGACCGCCTCGGCCGACACCGACCTGACCAAGGAGGTGTGTCGCGCCCTGCGCGAGATTGGCGACAGCTCGTTGAAGGCCATCGAGGCGCACCTGCGCGACACCAACTCGGTCAGCGTCGAGGACGACTCGGTCGACCTCACCGCGGTCATCAAGCAGTCGCTCAAGCGGGCCGTGGCCAAGGGGCTGGTGGCCCAGGACGGCCGCCACTACCGGGTGCTCGAGTTCAAGAGTCCGGCCGGCACGCCTCGCAAGAGACGCGCCTCCTCGCCGGAAAAGGAGCCGCCAAAGGTACCAACTCCCGAAATCATTTTCTCTAAAAAAGACTTTTTTGCCAAAGAAAATTTATTAAACAAATGCATGATTTGTGTAGACATTCATTCATAATGCTTGAATTTGTGTTATTTGTTTTCGCTATCAAAGGCCTTTGAGACTAATTGCAATTACTAAAGTTGTTATCGGACTGTTTAAATGTGCGGTACGGATTTTAGAGTCATTTTATAACCAATTTGTAACTCTTCAGTATTCAATCAAGCACCAAGGTGATGGTCAATTATGAACTTACTAAAATATCCAGGTGTGTTGGGAAGGCCTTTGAAATTAATTATAGTACTTAAATTTTAGTCTCACTCTATCAAGACTTGTATTTAAATCATAAAAACTTTATGAAGAATTGTATAAACAAAATTTTTCCTTGCTTAATTGTAATACTATACATCTAGGAAAGTTTGGTTATTAATTTTTTTTTTTTTTTAATTTCAGGACATGAGTCATACATTTTCTGGTTTCTTAATTGAGGTTGTAGTTCATTAGTGAAAAATATGCAGAAGATGCACGCATTTAGAAAATTATTGTTGAAAGGAAAATACATTAGGTAGATTAGTGAAGATTCTTCAAAGTATTATTTGAGTTTGATAGAAACATTTTCATTGATTTGAATGTAAAAAAAAACCACATAAATCCGTCTACACAATGATTGCATACTAAATTTAATATCTCTGTGAAGCATGATTTTTTATATTTTTTGGAAATCGATTGATTGATTTTGATTTGTCATAAAAAAAAGATTGTGATAAGTCGCAGCAGAAACAAGCAGCGTTCGGTTTGCTAACATAATCGATGCACGGCAGCTGCTGATTAAAACACCAGGTGCGCTCGCGCTGCTTGTTTCTCTTCCTTAACTTGGCTGTCCGATCATGCTTGCAATAGTGTTGCATCCGCTCGCTTTTGTAGCATTTTTTTTCTATTATTATAAATTTGATTCGAATAAAATTGAGTCGAATTTGTCCATGTGTGTTGATGTTTTACTGATGGAGTGCCGCTTGCTTGTCAATCAGCCGCCGTCGCCTACGTCCTACTGCAGCGAGTGTCTTGGCACGGAGGCCCGAAATGGCAGCGGCCAGCCCGAGGAACTGAGCCATTGTCACTTGTGCGCCACCTCGGCCCACGTGTCCTGTGTCGTGAGCGATCCGTCGCTAAGGGCGCGTCTCCAGGGCGTTCAGTGGGCCTGCGCCCAATGCGACGAGTGCTCGCACTGCGGCCAAGAACCCCCAGACAAGGTTCCATTGCAATCTCTCTCTCTCCTTCTATATTTTATACGAGTTCATTAATTCAACATTCGCACTCTTTGAATATTTTTAATACATATTAATTTGGATTCTTACTAGAGGTGTATTAATTTATTAATATTTAGTTGCTAAGGCTTCAGGAATTATCATTAATTTGGTTCATAAGAGAGCTCGATGTGCTTTAAGGCCGAAAAGTTGAGTTCTCACGAGAGTGGAACAAAAATCTGTCGAAGATCTTGAATGGTCATTTACAAATATGACCATTTTAATCAAAATTACTTGTTAGTAGATCAAAATTGCTATTTTTATCTAATCTGCACAAATTCTTCCGGAGTCTAATTTATTGCAGTCAATTTTTCTACTAGTTATTTTCAGCATGGCATAGTTTTCAATTTTCAGTAAAATTTTATCAACAATGGAAGTTGCATATTTTTAAATAAATTTACTCGACCTATTCCTAAATTTTGTTTTGAAATTTAATTATTAAGTGTAGGACAAAGCCAGTTATTGCTTTTTGAAAACTGGCTGTGTTCTGGACGAAACCTTGAGTTTGCTTCTTGGTCGGTCATTTTTATTTAATGACCATTTTTGTGTTTCTCAGCCGTTTGGCGGATTTGTTGGTTGGTGATGGTGATTATTGCTACTCTAATGTGGATATTGGATTGCTTGTTATTAGCTTAATTTTTATTGCCCCAAATTTGACAATTTTACTCACACACTTTTCTATTTCGTTGTTGCAGAACTGCATTGTCAAATGCACATTATGTGCGTCGAGCATTCATCTGGAATGCGCGCGGCTCGGCAAGAAAAATAAGGACCCCATTGCATGTGATGACTGCGCCATGCCAACCCCAAGAAGAGGAAGACCGCCTAAGAACCAGAGCCCCAGCAGGTAATGAAAATGAAAATTGTTTAAATTATAGTTTTAAGTTTATTAGGTAAATAATTTAAATTTTTATTACATCCAATTAGTTTTATCCTAATTTGGTTATAAATTTGTATTGAACCTTATTGAAGCTAAAATACTGCTGGTCAAATTATATTAATTCACGTGAATTTATTTATAATTTGTGTTGCAGGTCTGAGGCAAAGGAAACGCCAAAGTCAAGCTGTAAGAGCCGGGGCCGAACGCCTAAAGAGAAGGACAACACTCCAAAGCGTCAGCAAAGACACAGCAGCAGCTCAGAGGGTAATGATCTTTCCACTTTATCTCCGCCAGCCACTCCCCTTTGCCAGGAGGAAAAGAGTGTAAAGATTTCCAAAGAAAAGCAAAAGTTCTTCAGAGCCAGTTATGCAGCCGAGCACCAGCCCAGCAATGGTCGAAACAAATCGTCCCCCCAGAAGTCGACCTCTCAGTCTCCCCCCGCCTCCAAGGCGTTTGCAGCCGAGTCCCTCAAAGCCACCCCCGACACCACCAAAGACCTCAGGGACAGCTTCAAAGCCCCGGGCAACGGCCCCATAAAGAATCTATTTGATGGTCTGAGCCACATGTTTTTGGCACCGTCCTTCACCCGCCGACGCAGCAACGTCCCTAATTACTCACTGACCCAGAGAAAGAAGAATTCGACGGACAACTCGAGCCCTGAATCGTCACCCAACAGTAAAGCGGCTTCTCCAGAAATCCCGGAACCAAAGGTTCGAAAGGTCAGAGTTTCTGAGCCCAGGAGGGAGGAACGCGCCTCGAAGAGGGACAGCAGTCCTGAGGACAGGCGGTCACCCGAGAGGGTCAAGACGATCACCCTGTCTCCGTCCAAGCTGATCAAGACTGCAGTCAAGAGCAAAAAACTAGAACAGGAGAGACGGAAGGAGTTGAAGAGGGACGTTTCCTTCCTGGATGCGGACGCGCCTGAAGCGGTGAAGACCAAGAAAAAGAAGAAAAAGCAGGAGCAATCGGCCGGTTGGTAGCTGTTGCTCGCTCTGTCCCCTCATCTAGCATGATTGGCTGCCTTAGCTGTGCAAACAGACTGCTTTTTCCCCACCTGCCCGATTTTATGTGACCGATTAATTAACTCTCACCACACCACCTTCTGGCACTCCCTCCATTTAACCAACCAAACCTGCACTCTTGCGTGTTAATAATATTAATAAGTAGGCTTTGCTTCCCTGCGACTGGCTCCTTTGCTTTTCAACCTCCTCCCAAGTGGCTGACCCTGGCAATATGTTTGTCCCTTTGTCACATCAGTTTTAAATGTTTCTTCGGCCCTTTCATTAAGTGTGGGCTGAAGGCTGGCACTGCTTCAATGTACCTATGCTTAGCATGATCGTTCGTTCATTCATTCACTATTCCTCATTAACTTGCAAATGACTGGAGGTGCCAAATTCTCTATTTGTTGGATGCTTGCAGGCGAGTCTGAAAACGAAATTGAGCACAGGCTTGTGTTGCCAGCTGGCGTAACTCAGAGGGACGTCGAGACGTTCAAGAAGGCCCAGGAAAAGGGCAACGCGGTAAGTAAACAGGAGAAATAATTTTATTTGAGTATTTTTTCGGCTGTCTATTAAAATTTAATAACACAGAAAATATTCATCTTTATTTTTAATTTTTAGGTAAGTCTCGAGGTTGCTCCTTCAGCTGACTTGCTCCTCTCCACTGTTGGAAACTCTGGCACCCCAACGGCCGCGCCCAGGTGTCCGGCTGCAATTGAGTTCGGCAAGTACGACATTCAGACGTGGTACTCGTCACCGTACCCTCAAGAATATGCAAGGCTCCCACAGCTCTTCCTGTGCGAGTTTTGCCTCAAGTACACCAAGAGCAAATCAGTCTTGACAAGACACCAGGGCAAGTGCCCGTGGAGACACCCACCTGGAACAGAAATTTATCGTCACAACAGCCTATCAGTATTCGAGGTCGACGGCAACGTGAATAAAATTTACTGCCAGAATCTCTGCCTGCTGGCCAAGCTTTTCCTGGACCACAAAACCTTGTATTATGACGTCGAGCCGTTCCTTTTCTATGTCCTCACAAAGAATGACGTTAAGGTAAAAGAGGATTTTGTTATGCAAAAAAAAAAAAAAAATATTAATCCAATATCAACCTTTAGGGCTGCCACCTAGTGGGATACTTTTCTAAGGAAAAGCACTGCCAACAAAAGTACAATGTGTCTTGCATCATGACAATGCCTCAGTACCAGCGGCAAGGATATGGACGATTTCTCATTCATTTTAGTAAGCAAAACATCAAATCTGCTTAGTTCTTGATTTTTATTGCCTCCTGTGTCATCAGGCTATCTTCTGTCAAAACACGAAGGACAACCTGGCACTCCAGAGAAGCCTCTCTCAGATCTTGGACGGGTTACTTATACGGCTTACTGGAAATCTGTTGTGCTCGAGCAACTACACACTGGCTACAAAAAAAGCGACAAACCTCTTAGTTTGAGAGCCATGAGCAAGGAAACTGGCATCTGTTGGCACGACCTTGCTGCCACCCTGGCCATGTTGAATTTCATCCGTCGAAGACAGGACGATGAAAAACTGGTGCTATGCATTAACTGGAGACAGGTTGAAGATCACTGGCAGAGGATTTCGCATAGCAAGTCTCGCATACCTTTAGACCCTGAGTGCCTCAGGTGGACGCCATTGGTGCCTGCTAACGCCGTTTTCAAGGATGATGATAAGGTAAGACATAAAATTTCTTTGCGATTTTAGCTAAAATAATTAAACATTTCATTGCACAGAGTTTCGACGACGATTTGGAAGACGAAGCTAATACGCCTATGATTCCAATTGGACCTCCAATCATTGTTGAAACACCAATGGGTGTGAAGAAGAAGGGGAAGAAGAAGAGAAGGACGCTTGCTGAGAAAATTGCAGAGGCCAACGCTGAGAGCAAAGAAAATTTGCTGAAGAAATTGGTAAGAAAATCAATTATTTTCATTATTTTATTTTTAATTATTTTTAACAGATAAGGAAACGGAGCCGAGAAGTTGCTATCGAACATGAAGAGGAGGATGAAGAAGAAAAGACAGAAGAAGAAGTGGCTGTTATAGATGAAAAGCCAAAGAAAAGGCAGCGTTTGCAGTCAAGCACTGAAAAATCTGCTGAGCCACCAACGCCTGCCAAACCTATTGCCCAAGAAGGCCCGAAGAAGAGAGGACGTAAGCCATCAGTGGTTCTTCCTGTTGAACCTCCCCCTCAAGAGTCGAAGCCAAGAAGATCTTGCACGAAGAAGGAAAAGGCTCCTCCAAAAAGTGAGCTTTAGTTTGTGTTTAATTAAATAAATTTATAACAACTTAATTTATTCACAGGTGAAAGTGAGAGTGAGGCTGAGGAAGACGAGCAGCCTGCTTCGGAACGTAGACCTAAAAGAAGGGCAGTTTTGGCTGTTGCAGAGGCAAAAAGCAAGAGAAAATCAGACCGACCAGCAAGATCGGCAAGGAAAAGGTTGTACCTTTTTTTTAAAGTATTTGTTTTGTTAAATTTACTAATTTATTTCAGTGTTGTTGTTGATGAGCCTGAGGAGGAAGAGGATGATGGTTCCCCAAATCTGGAGCCTGAACCCCCTATTAAAGAAAACAGCAAGCCCCCAAATTCTCCTCCAGTGTTAGAAGAAATCACTTCCATTGAGGTCCAACCAACCACAACGCCTAAAAAGAGAGGTCGACCAAGCAAGAAGAACAGCAAACATCGACGAGGTCGAAAGAAGTCTAGAGGAGTTGCCGATAAGGTGAATTAATTTTCAAATTATTTCAGCAGAAAGCTTATATCTTTTGTTTTTCGTTTAGATGGACAATGATGATTTTGAGGCTGTGAACATAGAGCCAAAGGAAGAGAAGCCTGATGAAATAATGAACGAAGATAACGAGGAGGACAGACGTTCAACCGATACTCACATTGAGGAGGACGAGAAATCACAAGAGCCGCCTGCCACACCAAAAGAGAGTTCAGATCACGAAGAGGAGGAAGACGAGGAAGAGAAAAAGTCTGAAACTCCTGTCAAAATGGCAGAAGACAAAGAGTCTTCTTCTCCCCAAGCAAATGAAAAAACTGAATTGGCCAAGGAAAATATTTCTGATGAGCCGAAGGTAAATTTTAAAATTAGAAAAAAGTTTTGAATGTGATTTTTAAAATGAAAATTTTTAGAAGGAGTCTAGGCCTGAAGTGGAAAGGATACCCTCACCAGTTTCACAGAAAGAAGAGAAATCTATCGATGAGCCAAAGCAGCCTTTGAATCATCCTTCCCCTCAAACATTGATGCACAATGGTACGGAAGAAGCCACAGAACCTCTTGCTGTAGAGACAAGGAAATTGGCAGATTCTCCTCCTGAAAAGCAGCAGATTTCTCCAGCAGTTGCCCAGCCCAGTCCTGTGCCAGTTGCATCTGTTCCGTCTCCGATGCCTCTTTCAATCTCGCAACCTAGTCCCAAACCTCCAATCCTGCATCAGGAGCCGAGTCCCCAGCAACCCAGTCCAGTGCCGCAGCCAAGTCCTGCACCTCAGCCAAGCCCAGTTATGCAGCCGAGCCCAGTAATGCAGCCAAGTCCAATTTCAAACAGCCCTTCGCACCGACCAGAGCTTCCTAAGCACAGCCCGAACGTTGTTGAGCCAAGATCTGTTGAGACAATCAAAAGCCCAAGGCCAAGTCCTGTACATCAGATGATATCAAGTCCCCGTCCTTTGGTCCAAGAGCAGATCAGGAGTCCGCAACCTGACCCTTCTGCTTTGAAGGTTGCAGAAAGAATAAGGCTTGAAGTTACCAGGGAGGATGCTAAGAAGGTAAAGAAAAGAGTTAATGTTTTTAGTCAATAGCACTCGTTTATTTATTTATTTTTTGAGATGAATGTTTGAAACATAATATAATTTTATTTTGTAGGCCAAACATAAGGAGCTAAGCTCACATGCGGTGATCAATGTTGATGAGCGTCTGGAGGACAAACAACCGGAAATGCCTCATCTCGGAGTCTTCACTCCGGATTCGACCACCAATTCTGTTCACTCCATGCATGGCTACGGAGGGCCTGCCTGCAGCGAGTTGGACCACCTGAGCATGGAATCTCCTGCCTCTGTTTCGTCCAGCGATATGCAGCCGGCAGTCGCACCTCCATCTGTGGAGATGGGCCAACCCAGTCCCCAGCAAATACACCACCACCATCACATGACTGCAATTCATCAACCACCCCCTCAACAAGTAAGAATATCTAATTTTATAAACATTGATTGACTTAATAATATCTGGACCCTGCAAAATTTTACTTAACCAATTACTCTTTTATTAGATTTATCCGCAAGTGACATCCGAGTGTGCCCACCTGCAGGCGCAGGTTTCAATCCCGTCGCACCGGCCGACACCTCCAACCTCTTCAGCAGCCTCTAAATCTGCGGCCGTGGTGCCTCCCCATCCTCACATGCCCTCTCTGCATCCGCAGCAGATGATGCATCACCATCCCCAAGCTGCTCCCCCGCAGCAGCAGACACCTCCTCAGTGGCAGTACCACCCGGCAATGCAGCCTCAGCACTACCAGACCCACTTCACGCCTCAGCAATACGCAGTCAGCATGCAGCAGCACCGGCAGCAACCACAGCAGAGGTCAGCCTGTGCTTCGGCACCCTTTTACATCCAGACTTCGGGTCAGCAGGTCACGCAGGCAGCCAATCCTAACTCCTGCAGCCTTGCCAAACTGCAACAACTGACCAACGGGCTGGACATGGTGCCTCCATCACCTGGACTTGCTTCGTCGCCAAATCACACACCTCCCCCATCACATCACGCCACCCCTCCTCCTCAGGTCATTCCTCAGCCGCAGGTCACACTGGCCAACTATCACAAGTAAGTTTTTTAGCAACAAAAAATTTAAAAAAAGCTTATTATTTATTCTAAATGTGCATGAATTTCAGATATTACCCGACAAACGCTGCGGCCGCCGCCTTGACTGCCAGTCGATCAGCGCCCCGTCAGGCAATGGTGCAACGCAGTTCTCCAGGTCTGATGACGCAATATCCGTCGATGAATGGCTTTCGAATGGCGGCTGCCCACCAGCAGGCGCCCGTCACCAGCTACATCACAAACCACAACTTCATCAACCAGGCGGCGCAGATCCCGATGCAGATGGGCGTGATGCAGGCGCAGTACCAAGACCCGACGGCCGCTGCGGCCGCCACACAGAACACGGCCGTCTACACGTACGGCTACATCAACGGTAGTCTGATGCAGCCCCTGAACGGCACCATGCGCAGGTAGCAAGACTGAGACTGTGTCGGGGTCATACTTTTGTGCGCCCCTTGACAACTTTGTTTTAATTTTAAGTTTTTTGTTTCTCTAATCTCCGCACTCAAACATTTGAACGCATCGAGCCTGTGGATCAATGGCTGAATTGAAATACTGGAAATTTCATTTGTGTTTTCGTTTCTGGACTCCCAATCTGGCCCAGATTGTTGGCACTGAAAAGATTTTAGACAAACTTTTGTGTTTTTTCGCACCAGTCACTAGCCTATCAATAGAATGCTTTTAATCAATCCTGATCGACCCACACTCGAGCCGCAGTTGGTTTCAGTGTCAGAGGACTTATTCAATAATCTCAAAACTTGCTGGGCCAGCTGCGGTTTAGAATTAATCATCGCACATTGTAGTTGGAATAGAGCAAATATTATACTAGAAGGAATAAAAATATTTATCATACTTTTTGTAACAACTTAATACATGTAAGCAGAATATTTTTATCTTTGTATGTGCAAACAGGTACAAAACATTTTAATAGTAACTCACTAAAATATATTATATTACTGCGGTAGTAAAGAATGAGTTAACTATGCAATTAATCTAATGTGAAATAAATGATGGACTATTTTTAAAAACAAAAATACCGCTCTCAAAAGAAATTCTTACTTACTTATTGTTAGGGAAGGTTCTTTGTGTGTTAGCAGAAAAAATAAAATAAAACAGTGATTTATGAAATGCGCCGGGGTTGAAAAGAGGAGATGTTGAATATAATATAAAAAATTGGTTCCTGAGATGAATATTCCAAATTTTCTAATGAAACAAGATGAAACGTGCAGCCTGAATGACGTGTGTACTTTTTGCGTGCGAGGAACTGTAATTTCAAAATGAGTCCTTTCTTTTTGTTGTAATCTCTCCATTATTTATTCTGTAAATTTTGTGAAAATCAAGAATGACTGTTATCAGTGTGATGGATGGTGTACCTATCAAAATAAATACGATGAAAATAATCTTAATCCAAGGAGAAGGCTAGCACTACACAGGCCTATTGTTGCCTTACTTAGTGATGATTAGACATGATGTTGAAAGTGAGAGTGAAAATGGGAGATTTTTCGTACTCGTCTTTACTTTTCCTCTTTTTCTGTAGAAGCTGTACATGTAATAGCTAATAAAAGAGCTGTTGAATATGATTAAAACAATAAATTTTATTTTTTCCAAAAAAACATTCACCGTCGCTTTACAATGCCTTTGTACGGTTTGGGTGAAAGGGTGACGCCGTCGTAGTGTTTCAAATTCTGCACTCCCTCTGCAGTAGCAGAAAAAGTGAATCGTTGCAGCAATCCGGCCAGAAAGAGGAACAAACTGTTTCTCGCTTGAACTTCTCCAATGCACCGCCGCTTTCCTAAAGACGTACAAATAAAAAATAAAAAAAAATAATAATAAGAACTTAAGACTAACCAAGCCCAAAAGGAATAAACCATTCGTCTTTGATGATTGCGCTTTGATCTTCATTTAAAAATCTTTCGGGGCGAAAATTTTCAGGATCTTTCCAATGCTCAGGGTCCATGTGAACGCTCCAAATGCTCATCAGAACAGTGGTGTCCTGAGCCAAAAATATGAAACTTTTAAGATAAAAATACTTTTTAAGATACAACCTTTGGTATATTGTAGCCGAGAATTTCACAATCTTGTGTCGTCCGGTGAGGAACGGCGATTGGAGCAACACTGAGAAATCTCTGCACCTCCATAATGAGCGCCTCCAAGTAGAGCATTCTGAAGAAGCAAAATTTAATTATTTTACATTTTGAAAATTTCATTTTTACTTTGGCCGATCGGAAAGTTTTGGCAGGCGCCCCCTGCCAATGACCGAGTCGATTTCGGCTTGCACTCTTTTTTGCATTTCTGGATTTATCAGAAAATAAAGGAAAATGAATCCTATTGTGTTGCTCGTTGTCTCTGAACCGGCCATGAACAAGTCCATGCTGAGAGCCAAAAGCTGAAGGTCTGAGGAAAATAAAAAAGATTCTCATTTAAATTTTTTAAGGTTATATTTAAAGACCATTAAAATCTGTGTCTTTCTCCGAGTTTATTTCATCCAAGTAAGCGTCGATCAGGTCGTGATGATTCCCCTGCATGTGGGTTCGCTTGTGATCCTGCAGTGTTTCCTAAAATGCAGTTCACAAAATTAAAATGTATTTATAATTTTTAATTCTAACTCTGAGAAAGCTGTAAGTGGCAGCGAGGGTGGCAATGTGGTCGTTGTAGCCAGTGCGTCCGGGCATCAGGTGGCGCAGAAAAGGCATCTGATTGATCAACCCGCCGGACATGTCGAGTGCTCTGAACGAGGCGTGCTGCAGCTTGAACATTTGGATCAGCCTGGGGTCGTCCAACTCGAACCGATTGCCAGCCACCACTGCCCACAGACTGTTCAAAATGCTGATGTCGCACAAATTGTGCAGCTCGATTTCCAAATCCTACGAATTCAATATTTTAATCAAAAATATTTGCGTTAGAATGATAGCAAAAAAAGTTTTTTTGATGCGCTCCAAAACGAATTCTGATAAATAGATCCCTGCAAATTTTGTCACTAACGTAAGCTGTTTTTTTTTTTTACATATAAAAAATAAATTTAATAAGGATTTCTGAAATATCTTCTCATATTGTATCTAAATATCTAAAAAGATTGAATTTAACATCAGAATTTTCATAAATTTTAATTTTTGTAGAACTTAAGAATTTTCATTATTACTGTTCGTCTCTGGAGTTTTTAATGATCATCATCATTTTAATTAAGGGAAAATTTCTTTCTCATAAGAACGAATAAATAGAATTAACATAGATTTAAAAAAAAAACGTAAATTACGAAATTAGGATATCCAAATAAATTTTTTAATTCTGTAGAATTAGATTATGAAAGACCTTTTTTGGGCTTATCTTTTGGTAAAAAAATACTTTGCCTGGGGAATTTTTTTATCACAAGTCAAACCACTAAATATTTAAGCTTTTTCAAAGAGACTTTTTCACCAATCTAAAAGTAATTCTAGAAAAATTACTACCTCGTTGTGCGAACATTTGTCGCTTAGGTCGTGAACGAGCGCCTCGACTTCTTGCAAGATAATGTGCTCCATGGAATTCACGCTGAGACCCAAATTGCGCAAGTGGCGCGTCGTGAATTTGCGCTGCTTGCTCCAGTGCTCGCCGTCGACAAAAACCAAACCTTCAAATTAATCTTTTAATATGCAATTATTTACGTTTTTAATTGAAAACCTAGTCTTTGGTCAAATGTTCGCATCCTGAAGAAAAATCCGTCGGGCCGGCCGTCGCAGTCGTCCCGAGAGAAAACGTGTTTGACCGCTTGATAGCCACTGACCACGACAATGCGGTCCTTGCCTAGCTTCAAACCAACAAGTGGTCCGTACTGCTCGGCCCATTTGGCCCAAACGAGGTGGCAGTAGCCCAGAATTCGGTGTAAAAATAAAAACTGCGGGTAGCAACCGACAAACGGACACCAGCAGGGCCCTAAAAAATAGCTTGTAAAACATTGCACATCCATTGAATTGCTTTTTTTTCAATTTTAAAACAAGTTATTATTGTTGACATGACATACATAAAAGCACGAAATATAGAGCAACAGATTTTACGTAAATAAAGATCATGCCATTATATCACCGAACTAGAAATTTTATTTCAAAATTTTATTCGATAAATTCGTCTTTTTAGGTATTTTTTTAACTTATATACTCCAAGAAATATAAAAAACATAAAATGATATTCAAAATAAATAAATAAAATAGTAAAATTATTTTTTTATATTAAGTTAAAAAAAATTATTAGCTAATTAATAAAATGTTTTAGATTTTTTTATCCTTTAAGTTCAACATTATTTAAAAATAACAGTTTAAAAAAAAAATGATGTGTAAGAGATTTTTAATTCCGGAAGTTCAAAGTATTTGTGAAAAAATTTATACCTGGTGGGAACCCTTTTGGCTTAATAGTGCCCCAAACGGCGAAGGAGCAGAAAAGGATGAGGGCGCACGCAACCACTTGGAGCAGCATCCTTTCTGTCCGGCGGTCGGTCCGTAAGTGTGCCGGAGAAAAGATGCATAGATGCACTTGTTGAACACCTAGCAACACTTGTAGCACCAATGGGAGTCACTGACTCTCCAGATTTACATATCACGTATCTCTCCATCTGACCTTCATCCCTCTGCGCCTTTGTTCTGAACAAGCCGGAGACCAAACTCTTTCAGATAAATCACAAGGAAGTTGACACCTTTTCTATTACGTCGAAACATTTTCCTACGTTTCGTGACGTGAGAGTCTCGGGCACGTTTTTTTCTAATGAAAGGAGAAAACACTGACCTTCCGAATATCCTCATGGTTCCGTTAATTCTTTTGAGAATTATTTATCATAAATTTTTCTATAGAAATGCGGCAAATTTTTTTAATCAAATTAAGGACGCAATACTTGTCCTGTTTTCATAAGAAAAATTTAGCTTGTTAGTGAAATTCACTTTACTTGATTGCATGAGGATGTAAGTGAAATGACTAGAATTTTTCAATTAAATTCTTTTAAAATTATGGATTAGTTTTGGGCAGTTTTTGCAATTTTTCCGCAATTGTTTTAATCTGTGTAATAAGTGTTGTTATTATTTACATCAAAATAATTTAACGGTGCTGAAAATAGTATTTTTGCTCACAATTAGAAGTTTCCTTTACTCATATTTTGAACTTGTTGAGAAATTGAGATAGAGGAATTTTTGAAGCCCATAATTACGTACTTTTCTTTCTCTTTCATGGGCCACCCGCATTGAAGTAATGTTTAGCGGCACAGTTTCTGCGACTGAGTAAGGCGTACTTAAAAGCAAAAATTTTCTAATTAAATAATGACTCTAGTGGACGGTGCACTTGTTTTGGAGTGTGCAGGACAAATTTATTGATGTCTGCTTATAATCCTGGACTGAATTAATTTGATGTAATTTTGTTAATTTTATTCTTTACTCCTCAAACGGTAATTTTGAACACTAATCTTTCTTTTCTTTTTGAAATAATAAAATTGTTATGATAAAAATAAATTGCTGGAAAAACATCACACCAAAAACAAATTATGCTAATGCTTTTTAAAAAGAAATCTTCTGGCACGGCGAGTTTTGGGTTGATAAATTAGGCCTAATTTTCATATTTATTTATTTACTTATTAATGTTGTTTTCTGGTTTTAATTAATGCAGTAGATGTGAGTGCACAATGAATAAAATAACAATTCAGATCGTCCAATAATTCCTTACTGTTCTGTAGGGTCTATTATATATTATGAGCTGCATGGAGGCTGGACTACTTATTTCTTTTTCCCCTTTGAAATATTCAATGGTGACGAGCTAAAGGCATGCCAAATTGAGATTCAAAGAGAAGAGATCAGACGTAGAGTTTTATTTAAACTGCGTGAAACGAAATTGAGTGCGGAACGCGCGATTCGATTTGAGCTTTGAGACAAAGGAGTGAACGCCGAGATGCAAAATGCTTTCCGGTCCAGCAGGCCGAGAGGGGCGCGGGCGAGCGGCGAGTGGTGGGCCGAGGAGGGCGTCCGGGACGGTGCGCGGCGGTCGCGGTGCGGAGCGCACTTCTTCGCGGGACTTGAGCACGGGCGGGCCTGCATCTTTCGGGCGGGATGAGGCGTTTGTGGCTCGCAGCCTCGCTGTGCGTGCTGCTGGCCGTGGTGTTCGGCCCGCAGGTGACCTTGGCCAAAAAGGCGGCCGCCGAGGCCAAACCGGCGGCGGCGGCCACGCAGACCAAAGCGGCCGAAGCCTCCAAGATCGAAGAGGTCACCGCCAAGCAGCTCGAGAAGATTCTGCTCGACAAGGACTACGTCGCCGTCTTTTGGTGTGAGTAGGCAACCTGCCGAGCAGCGCCCCCGACCGTCCCTGCCGCCGTCCGCACTCTCGCCGCCGCGCTCATTCGCTCGCCGGCGGCCTGCCGATATTTTTAGTGAGCTTGCCGCCAGCTAAAATCTATTCTGAGGCTCGCCAGCCTAAAAAGGCGCCTCAAAAAACAATCGCCGAAGCAACCACCCAATTTCATTTGCCCCGCAAATTTCCGCCCCGTTTTTCCACCTCGGAACCGCGCAATTCCGGTTGCTCGATTCGCAGCCGGCCGAACGGACCTGCCCGTTTTATATATTTTATTCGATGATCTTCTCTCGCGGGGCATAAATCGCGGGCCGAGGGTGTGAGCGCGCGTGAAAGTCCCGCCGCGGCTATTTCGGGCGCATCTGGCGATGTGGAACGCGCCCGCGTTATTACTACACCCACCTCGTTCCTAACTCATTGACCTGTTATTATTATGTATTATTAAAATAATAAACGGATTGTGAAGGCGCCGCGCGCGGTTACACGCGAGAGAAAGGGTTGCACGCGTTTTTGACAGTGCAGGATCTGCCGAGATTTGTTTTTGATGGTGTGATTCAGAGATTATTTGCGGCGGGCAACCATCACCAGAATTAAAGGGACAAGAATGAGATTTCCTCCTTGTTGCACGTCACAAGGAGGCGCAGTAAAATGTTGTATTTATATTTTGCGGTTTCGACTTCTTTGATGGCCGCCGAGTGAAAGAGCCAGATCGTAAAAATCAAAGTTATCAGCAAAGGTTAAAGCTATAATTTTCAATTTTGGCAGCAAACTTTAAATCGTTTTTGAACGTCAAGTGTGATTAATTGTGGAAAACAAAACTAACGTGGATCGTGTTTGTAAATTGGGCACAAAAATAAAATAAATTTAGTAGTTTTAAACAATTTAAAAATGAATGAAATTATTGTGCCTTATTTCGTCATTTCCAAAACATTTAGTGATAAAAAAAATCATTTTTACAATGAATCAGAAACATCTTAAACAATCAACAGATGGATATAAACTTCATAAATAGGATTAGGATTAGACAAAACAGCTTGTCTTTCATCTTATGACAAGAGGTTGGAGAAAACTAGTGACATGAGACATAAGTTTTACTCAAAGTGTTTTAATAGAATTTCAAATTTTTATAAATTTCTACAAAATATTATATATATTTTAAATTAAAAAAGGATACAGATAACAAAAAATTTAATAAAAAAAGACCACACTGAATAATTCAAAATAAGAGGCAAAACTAAAAAAGAAAAGATAATAAAGGTGGCAAAGGCCTTGAGAAGAATGCCAAAAATACCTCAAAACAAGATAAACCTGTCACTCAAGCTTGCCCAAAAGAATGCCATCGCTTTGATTGGTTTGAAATAGAAGTAATAGAAGAATCGAGAAACTTGGAAATTACCGAAATTTTACTAAAGCTGTAGATTTCAGAATATAATAAAATATGAGTATGATCTTCATTAATTAATTTTTCTATCGTTTGGTTGATTTGTGTAATATAAATAAATTTGGATTAATAAAAGTAATCAAACCAAGAAGATAAACAGAAAATTTTGAAATTAAATGTTTATTTAATTATATAATCATCTTAAACTACACATTTAGATGTGCCTCGAAAGTTCTAAATTGTGACGACAGCAATAAAATGCCTTTTAAATTTAGCCGTGAATTTAATTAAATTGAGAAGAAGAAAATCACGAAAAAAAATTTGGACTTCTAGATGCGCCTTATTATTATGAAAACTCCTGGAGTGTTAATTTTAATTGATAATGAGAACAGCATAAATTTTTGGAAATCCCAAAATTATCAAATCATCATTTCTGTAAAAAAAAAAAATATATAATTCAAACTAATTGAATAATTTATATTTGTTGGTTTCTGTGATTGCAGATGCAAGAAGTTGCCACACGTGTGACAAAGTGCTTGCAGAGCTAGAGAAAATCGACGATGACACCGACAACTTTGGCGTGGACTTTGTCAAGATCAACGACAAACGACTCGCCAAGCAGTACGGAATCAAGACCTTCCCTGCTCTCACCTACTTCCGAGAGAAGGAGCCCATTCTGTATGAAGGTGAGTTGGGGGGAAAAAACAACAAATTTGCACCATTGAGCAACAACGGGGTTGGTTTATTTGTTTGCGAATTTCGCGAGAGCTGCGGGGAATTCGTGAGAGAGTTTGCACGACTCTAAAATTAGGAGCCCCTGCTTGAGGGTTCATGACATGTTTAACGCGCCAAGGAACTTTCTTTCGACAACAAAGCGGCCACTATTTCACGCACCGGCTGCAGATCAGCTTTTCAATTTTATTATACGAATGAGATGGAAATAATATTTTGACTGGCTGCCAATTCGGCCTCTTTTCGCCGAATTGACGTTCCTATTCGCGTTTTATGACGCTTGAAAAAGTTATGAGTTGTTTTCTTTGGACGGGGTTGTTAAAAAAGGAGGGTGCGACGGGCTTGAAATGTGATATAAGTGAAATTTTGAAGGGATTTGTAAATAAACAGCGTTTTGAGCGTTTTATCTTGGTGGCTTAAATAGACATATAAATTAAATTAAAATTTCATGATCAAACACATCAAAAAATCACAACAAAAAATATTATATTTAATGCTGTTTATTAATGCAATTGTTACAATACATTGTTATATCTTTTAAATTTTTTATTATAAATAAAAAATATTTAGATTGCCTTATAAAAAATTATAATTTAAAATAAAATAAATTATTTAAATCATGAGTATTTAGAGATAATATTAAGGTGATTCTTCTACGGGGTTTTGGCCAAAACTAGAAATGCTGCAATGGATTTCAAATGATTCAGATTATAAAAGTTGAACTATTGAGTGTTAATGTTTCAAGTATAGAAATGATTTATTTTCGCCCCATCGCTTCTTTACAAGGGGCCAAAGTAATGTCCGAAGATCAAAAACGGGTAAAAATCCACGTTTTTCTACCTTCTTTTGCTCGTAACTTTCCATTTTGCAAAGTGAACAATATTTTTCTAGATAGCTTTCGATTCGCAAGATGTTAAAGTATCCAAAAAAAGCTAAAAAATTATAACTCTTCTGTCATTTTATCACCCGCAGAGAAATAGCATTTATAAATGGCCCGTTAAAATTAAAAAAATTTGATTTCTCAGGGGGTGATAAAATGACAGAAGAGTTATAATTTTTTTGCTTTTTTTGGATACTGTATCTTCTTGCGAATCGAAAGCTATCTAGAAAAATATAGTTCACTTTGCAAACTGGAAAGTTAAGAGCATAAGAAGGTAGAAAAACGTGGATTTTTACCCGTTTTCGACCTTCGGACATAACTTTGTCCCCTTGTAAAGAAGCGATGGGGCGAAAATAAATCATTTCTATACTTGAAACATTAACACACAATAGTTCAACTTTTATAATCTGAATCATTTGAAATCCATTGCAGCATTTCTAGTTTTGGCCAAAACCCCGTAGAAGAATCACCTTAATTAATTTACATGTAAAAATCAAATTATTTAATAAAAATGAAAACCTTTTTCCAAAAAAATGATTTAAAGTTAATTACAACGTTTTTGATATTATTCAGGCGATTTGATGGATGAAGACTCCGTGCTGGACTTCTTGACCAGCCTTGAGGCCATGGACCTGCCTGACCGCATCGAGGAAGTCAACTCCAAGATTCTGGACAAAATAGTCGAGGATAATAACTATGTAGCCGTCCTATTCTGTGAGTTTGCCTGCTCAAGCCACACTTTCGATTCATATAAATATAATTTAGCCGTAGTTGCACGTCCATAGTTGAATTCTCTCGAGTTACATCTGATAATAATTTTTTAAAACGATCAAACTTTTTGGAGTATATAAAGTACTAACCCAGCTCATACATTTATTTTTGTTCTCGTCAAATATCACAACGTGTTTTTGTCTCGATGCTATTTTTAGCAAGTTGTCCCACTTTTTAACCGTTTTTTATTTTAGTTGTGTTTTCAGAAGAAAAAAAACACATTATATATCACATAAATATTGTGTCGTCTCGATTTTTACATATTTCCATACCATCGGCACAAAACGAGTAATACATTTCACGGCATGCAACCTGCTTGAACATTTTAATGATTTTCATTTTAAATTTTATTTCAAAAAAATTCACCTGCGCAAATATGGCGACGTCAAGTTTTCAGCTAAAGAAAAAAATTGATGAAATTTGAATCTGACGCACACTACTCTTCTCGACCAAAAACACACACAGCAGAAATCAGTGTATCCTCTCAACATAAGACTCTCAATGTCTTGCAAGATTAATAAGCAAATTACAGCTAAGCGGCGGAACAAACATATTAATTAAGAGTTTCAGTGTAGGGCCTACTCTCTCTCTCATATACTCTCTGCTCTCTTTTTCTATCTTGAAACCCAATGTATCCTTTGTTGTGACCCTCTTGTGTGATGTGTTGCCGTGCTGTCTGTAGGTCTCAGTGAAGAAACTTGCCCACCCGGGGACAAGAACATGTTGAGTAAGTACTTTAGATGAAATTCGCTGCAGTATTATTTTTTTTCTTCACATTCTTGCATTCATTATATTTGCTCTTTCTCTCACGTCAGTATTTTGCTCTCATTTTTATAATAATTTCTTCTCTGAACCTGTCTCCAAAGATTGTACAAATCTCCACAACTGTGCAACTTCACCAAAGTTTGAAAAAATTTATTACTTTTCACTGGATAAACAAAATTGCACTCCTCTCATCAACTAACTTTAAACTAGCTTTGAGAAATGTTACGTATAAAAATGAATTGTGACCTCTCTCTTTTTTTCGGACAAAATCGATCTTTGCATTTCTCTGTTTGATTTGTCGATCAAAGTTCTGTTTCAACCTTGTCTTCTAACATCTCTCAAAAGCTAATTTCGTCACCCTGCTCGAGGCTCGTCTGCTAGAGGGCGCGGACTATTCTATATTCTCTCGAGACAAAAGCAAAAGTCGTTTCGCAAACAATTGTGAAATTGTCTAGCTCGGACTTACACAAATTTTACTTTTCCGAACGGTCTGAGTCGTCTAGAGACGCGTCTGCTACTCTAACCGAGATTAACCCACGCTCGTGATGTATATAAAAAAAATTGTATTAAAAAATCTTTCTTAAACACACACGTAGAAAGTATAGAACACACTAAAGAAAGGGCCTCGGGAACGACGACATAATTCAAAAGGGCCTCTTTCTCCTTCTCTTCAAACACTCTGCAGTCACATTTTACAAACTTTCTTTCTGGCTGTTCCTTTTGCTTCAAAAGCAAGCTTGTTCCAAAACGCTGAAAATAAATTTCGCTCTCGCGTACTCTCCGCTGCTTCTCTTATAGTTAGTTGCGATAATTAATCGCTTAATTTTCATGTCCCGCCGCTCTGGTAAATCACTTCTGCTCGACTGCTTCTCTCGGATCTTGGCCGCAAGTTAAAATTTTGCTCTAAATCTTGCTATGGTTAATTAAGTGATGAAAATCTGAGCGCGATCTCTCCTATCTAAAGAGGTGCCAGAGCGGGACGAATGTGAAAAGTAGCTAGACTAGAGTTGACACTCAGAAATTGCTCTATGAAAAAGCAACACTGTGTCGGTGTGCAACATTTTATTTGCGGTTTAATTGTGTGTCCCAATTTTTGTGCTTCTCCTTTTTTAAATAAATAAAAGAAAGTGCCCTCGACCAAGCTCTGATATAAAGAAGAAAAGCTGATTGACTTTTTGCCGGTGTATAATTAATGGTTGGTCGATGTCACACGCACGCAGCGATGCTCCTCTCCTCTATTGTGTTGGTGCTGGGCACTGTGTGTCCTATAGATAGATAGACAGCTCCACCTCTGGCTGGCAGCCTATTTTTATCCTACGCGCCACGAGCACAAACATTCTCAATGGATCATTTTATCTATATAATAGCCGAGGAATTCGCAACGACCTGCCCTCCAAAATTAATTCATAAAAACCAGAATGGAATCAGGGAAAAAAATGAAATAAAAATTATTAACGAAAACCAAACATAGCTTTTTAAATCAAAATTGAGGTTCTAATATCATCCATTTGAGTAAATTGCAACCTTTTTTTACCTCAAATAAATCATTTTTAGCTTTATTTATATAAATTTTCAACCAGAAAAATAGCTTCCTAAAAAAAAAAAAATTCCTAAAAACGGCTTAAAACATAAAATTTTGATGTTCATACAAATAATTACCACAGGCTATTTTTACCATTAATGTTAAATACAATTACTTTTTAATTATATAATATTCAATATGAAATAAATTCATTCCTATTTATATTTTTTTTAATTATTGGCTGGCGGTGTTTGTTGTTATGGAAAAAATTAGTTGTGTATCCAATCTTTCTTATTTCCAACTCCGGAAGTGCGGTCGCGTGTTTGGACTCCCTCGTCAGATTAATGGGCCAAATGGCACGGTGCTGGCCCACTATACACTCAAAAGCTGTTCTGGTCCAGACCAGCTCCTCGGAATATTATTTGGCAATTATTCGAAAGAATGGCGAAAATAAAATCTTGTATCGGGGCCAAGTTCAGGACTCGGGTGTCCGGTCTGGCTGATGCGCGCGGTCCAGCACCAAACACACACACATGCGGGAGGCATCTGCTGTTACTCACCCTGCGCTTGGCCGCGCGCCAGCATTATTTTCTTTGCCCTCCCCCCACCCCCATCCGCTTATGCGCATTAATTCGATTGACAACCCACGGATTAACAAATGAAATGACGATTTGCGTTAAAAACGACACCGAGTGAGTGGCACAGCGGAGAGCCAACTTTCTCGCAGTTTAATGGGCCGTGAGCGGCGCACTTGGAACGCCGCCGGGTTTAAATAGCCACCCCAGAGTTGTTGCACTCGCTGCTTATCGGGTTGCGTCCAGCAGCACTTAAAGTGTTGACGAAACTAGGTCAATAATCTGTGTTAAAATATTAAATTAAATTTAATGTAAAATTTTTAAGGAACACGCAAATCGGCAATTCTTCTTTAATTTTTAATAAATAAATAAATTTCTTCCTTTGATAATAAATATCCCGAAAAATTAAAACTATACTTTGTTCTCTTTTGTAAAATATAAATACTGTGCCTTCCTCTTTATTCACAGCTGGTCGTGCGTGTCACGCGTTGCAGACAAATTGAGATTTTAACTAAACGAATGCACTTGCAGATAAGCCAGAGTGCAGAAAATCTTATAAAGCACTGCAGGAACTGGAGAACATCGACGACGAGGCCGACTCGCTGGGAATCGGCTTCGTCAAGATCGCAGACGAGGAATTGGCCGAGGAGTACAATCTGGGCACCCTGCCTGCTTTGGTCTACTACAGACACGGAATCCCCATCATTTATGAGCGTGAGTGAATCCGTCCAACTTGTGGTGCAAGCGCTAGCACACTGCCTTCGTTATTATTATTTCATCTCCACGGCTTTGTTGTTATGCAACCCCCATTATGATGTTAATCTCTCGCACGTCTTTTAATTAGCAGCCTAATGCTCGCGTTTGAGATTAAAACGATCGGTCGCTTTCCGCAGACGAACTGACCAGGGAGGAGGACGTCCTGGAGTGGCTGGTGCAGAACAAGTCCACCGGAGACGAGGACGACGTAATTGAAGACGTCACCATCCGCTCCCTCGAGACTCTCATCGATTCCGTGGACAATCTCGTCGTGCTCTTTTGTAATTAATTAAAAAAAAAAAATTTTTTAGATTTTTAAATTGCAAAATAAATTTTTAGACGACAACGACGATGATGAATCCGAGACTGTGTTGAACGAACTCGAGAAAATTGATGACGAGTGCGACAGGTACGGAATCAAGTTTGTCAAAATCGACGACGACAATGCAGCCAAGGAGTTCGGAATCGATGACATTCCTGCCCTGGTGTACTTCGAGAATGAGGTTCCCAACCTCTACGACGGTAAAACATGAAATATATTTTTATATTTATTAATTATTTAAATTATATTTAGGCGATCTTGAGGATGAAAACGAGATTCTTGAGTGGCTGGTTGGTCAGCTGAAGCAGGACGAAATTGAAGACGTGACTGACGAGATGCTGGACAGACTGATTAAAGAGGGCAAGACCATGCTGGTCCTCTTCTGTGAGTTGCAGATTTTTTTTTTTTTTAGAGATATGCAAATTTTGATTGACGACAATTTTGCAGACGACAACAATGACAAAAAGAGCCAGACAGTGTTGGGCGAGTTGGAGAAAATCGACGACGAGTGCGACTCGCACGGCGTTGTTTTCGTCAAGATCGAAAACGAGGACGAGGCGGCCGAGTACGGCATTGAAAAAATCCCCGCCCTCGTCTATTTCGAGAAAATGATTCCAACATTGTATGAAGGTATGTGCGTATTCGCTTTCTTTTTCGCACTCACTACCACCGACGACGAGTGAGTGACTGACAAAGAAAGGAAATGAGACTAAGTGACTAATGACCGCTCCCAGTGCGTTATTTTGAGCTAGACAGAATTAAATTATTTTATTTAATAAATAAAAAATTAATTAATCCTGAGTTTATTGAAAGTCATCATCAGAGTGCAATTTTTCAAAAAAAAAAAATATATTTAATTTAACAATTTAAAAAGAAATATGGTTAAAATTATAAAATATTTAAAAATAAGAGATTTATAATTAAAACTTAAAAATTAATTTGTTTTTGAAGATAAAAGAGGAATTAAGTGTTTGGGTTTTTTTTCACTGTTAAATTGTTTTTATTGAAAATCAAGCTAAAGAGCCGTTTTGTAACAATTTCTACAACGAAAAAAGCCCGATATCTTTAAATTTTATTTAATATTTGCATTTAAATTTTCAATTTAAAAAATTATAAAAATTAATTAATATTCTTTATAAAGGAAATTTGGAGGACGAAGAAAAGGTGCTGAAATGGGTGGTGAAGCAGTTGGAAAGTGACGAAATTGAAGACGTCAATGACGAAATGTTGGACATGCTCATATCCAAAATGCCCAACCTGGCCGTCCTGTTCTACGACAAGGACCAGAAGAAAAGCCAGAAAGTGCTTGCCGAGCTGGAGAACATTGACGACGACTGTGACAAAAATGGAATCGCCTTTGTGAAGATTGACGATGACAAAGAGGCCAAGGAGTACGGCATTGACGCGCTCCCTGCCCTGCTCTACTTTGAAAAGAAAATTCCTCACATTTATGACGGTAATTTCACGCTAGTTAATTTCTGTGCTGAATTAAAAATGATTTTTTTAAATAAAGGTGATCTACTCCAGGAAAATGAGCTGCTCGAGTGGCTGGTGCACCAGAAAAAGCACAGCGAAATTCCAGAGATCACTAACGAAATGATGGACAAGCTGATCGACACTATCGACTTCTTGGCCGTACTTTTCTGTAGGTGCTTAAAGCATTTTGTGGGATTCCCGGACAATTTAAAAATATTGAAATTTCGTTACAGACGACAGAGACGACAAGCAGGACTTGCGAGTGTTGAATGAATTGGAGAACATCGACGATGACCTGGACAAGGAAGGCATCGTCCTGGTCAGATTGGACGACGACAAGGAGGCGAAAAAGTACGGCATCGATCACTTGCCGGCGCTCGTTTACTTCGAGGAAGAAATCCCTGCTATTTACGAAGGTACAAATAATGAACTGAAGTTAGGCAGGCCCGCTCCACATTACTGTTGGGCGGGTTTGCTTTGCGCAGGGGTTAAAGATTTTCAATAATATTATGCTTAGAAAAATGTTTGTTTTTAACTAAAAAAAAATGGCTAATTATATTAAAATAAGTTATCTCTTTTACTATCTGATATATGTTACTAGAAAATTAAAAATTGAATTCGGAACAAATTTCAGGAATCAAATTTTTTTTTATTTTTCGCAAAGTAATTAATAATTTCTTCAAATTGTTGTTATTTTGTAAAGATTTTTGAAAAGTTCATGAATCAAATAAATAAAACTAAATGGTTAAAAACAAAAATTATAATTTGAGAAGTAAATAATTAAAATTTTGTTTTTACAAAAACATATATAAAGTGGCATAAATAATTACAAGTAAGAAAATTCCAATTTATTCCTTGTTTAAAAAAGCCTTCCTCACAAAGTATTAAATAATTATTTTAATTTTCTGCAGGCGATCTGCTGAATGAGGACGAAGTTTTGAAGTGGCTCGTTGAACAGAAGACCACGTCGTCGATCGAAGAGGTCACCGACGAGATCTTAAAGAGGCTCATTGAGCACCACGAGTACGTCGTCGTCTATTTCAGTGAGTGCACATGACGAAACGTAAAATTTATGCTCTATGAATGTAATTTTATTTTCAACAGGCGGCGAGTGTGACGAGGAAAACGACGACTGCGACGAGTTTATCGAGGCGTTGGAAAGCATCGACGACGAGCTGGACGAAACGGGCATTATTTTCGTCACTACCGAGGACATTGGACTGGCCAAGAAAAATGGCATCAAAACATTCCCTTCATTGGTATTCTTCAGAAATAAGGACCCTCTTCTTTACACTGGTAATTTCAACAGAACAAAATATGAATTTTTATTGTTGAAAATTTCTCCCATTTTTTTACAAATCATTTTAAATTTGGGTGGGATTGATATTTTGATAAAAGTTTATTCAATTTTGATACAAATTTTACTTACACAATATTTTTTTTTATCAGGTGATCTCGAAGATGAAGACGAAATTCTCACCTGGGTGACCGACGAAGAGACCCTGGAAATCCCTGGCCGTATCGAGGAAGTGAACGTCCGCATGCTGGACAACATTTTGCACGATAATGACAACGTCGTTGTATTTTTCTGTGAGTTTCAAACTTCAATTTAAGTTTCTCCCTGTGACGAATTTCCCGTGTGCAGACACAGAGGGCGACAAGAAGGACCAGAAAATCATTCAGGAGTTGGAGAACATTGATGACGAGTGTGAGGAAAAGGACATTGACTTTGTCAAGACCTCCGACGAAGGCATCCTCAAGGAATACTCCTTGGACAAATTGCCAACCCTGGCCTTCTACCGCAGCAAATTCAGGACCATTTACGAAGGCAACACGATTTTCTGCTTTAAAACTTGGATTTTTTTAACCTCTAACTGCAGGTGACCTTATGAACGAGGAGGCCATCCTTGAGTGGGTCCTTGGTCTGCACGGTTCAGCCCACGCCATCATTGAAAGCGTCGACCGCAAGACCCTGCAGACGCTCATCCACGAGGTCGACCACCTCGCTGTCTTTTTCTGTGAGTTTTTTTAAGAAAATTAAAATACTACAAAAAATTTAAAAATGAAATTCTGGCTCAACCTTTTTGGCAAAAATCAAAATAAGTCAGTGCAATTCTGCAATTTTAATTTAAAAACTTCCCAATATTATTTTCATAAATTTCTCCCTGTTAATAAGTATCAGTTGTCAATTTTTCAACCAAGTTTCAACTTTTAATGAAATCCACTTCAAGTGTTAATTTTCAATATAAAATAAAAAGGTTTTTTTTTTTATTCAGACGGACCTGACTGCAAAATGTGCAACCGAATTTTGGAGGAGCTCGAGACCATTGACGATGACACGGACAAACACAACATCCAGTTTGTCAAGTCGACCGACGCCAAATTGGCCTCCGAGTACGGAATCTTTGACTTCCCGGCACTCGTTTTCTTCGACACCGGCGTTCCAATCCAGTATGGAGGTAAGAGCCGTTTCCGTAAAAATAATCTTATCTCTTCGTCTTTCTCTCTTTTTCGTTAATTAATTTCAGCTCTATCAAGGAAAACAATTTCAGGCACCTCTTGTACAAAGAATTCCCTTTTAATTTCGTGCCCATTTTACAAATTAAATTTTCAGGCGATCTCAAACACGAAGCTCGCGTCCTGGATTGGCTCGTGAGAAAGAAAAGTAAGGGTGTTACTCGTCCCACAGGTACCTGCTCACCAACACTCGCAGCATCCAAATGAACCGAAATTGCCCATTTTTATTTGTCTCACTGATTAATGAAATCGCTTGTTGCAAAATAATCAAGCAAGTCAATGGCGAGAGCGACTTTCCTTGTGACGAAGGAAAAGCAGCTCTGGCCACTAAAAAAAAACCGATGTTGTTCTGTCGATGTGGCGTCAATCACACCCAATGGATGCTGTGGCTGTCTCTATGTGTTAACCTGACCACCTCCTTCGTATTTCTATTATTCTCAACTGCATTTCCTGGCCATTTTGCAATTAAGAGGGATAAAATTTAATTCGATTTTTATAGCTATTAAAAACAATAAAGCTTTAAAATTTTGGAATTAACGTAAAATTTACGCTTGGTAAAATAGTTTATTAGCTTTTTTGAGCTTTTGCGAATTAAAAATTAGTAGGTTAGTACGATTTATTATTATCTTGGCAATTTCGGGAACTTAATTTCCTGGCCCTCTTTTGGCTCGTATCCAAAACTGGCAGGAACTGCGAAGGCTTTGTCAAAACACGTCTAATGCTAATTTTGTATTCATTAGTTGATGATGACGAAGATGACGACGACGATGATGATGATGATGATAATAATGACGATGATGACGAGGTACTAAATTGCTCTTTCAGTTTTTCAGATTTGCAAGCAATCTTTTTTGAAAATGGGAAAATAATCCAATTTTAGGATGATGAAGATGACGATGACGAGGACGACGATGGTGTCGCCGACGACGACGATGATGATGAGGTATTGACACCTTAAAGCATCATCTGAACCCAAAACACGTCAATTTGTCAAACCCTAACCATTTTTTCGCATATTTTACCGAATTGTTGAATATTTAAGTTTCTGAAATTATTAGGATGATGATAACAATGATGATGATGATGAAGATGATGATGATGGGGATGGAGATGATGACGACGACGACGACGACGATGATGACGACGATGATATTGTTTTAGGTACCGCAGGGAATGCTGCCTGATGTTGAAAATTAATTAATTTACCGTCTCTGTTGATTTTCATCACCGATTTTTCGCATGATCATTTTTTATGTTTTTTCCTCAAGACTGTTTAAATGTCTGTGTAAAAAAAGTAAAAGCTGTTTTAGTTTATTAATGGCGCGTGCCAAACACAATTTGGTTGATTAAAATTTATTTTTAATAAAAATAAATTAATTAATTAATTAAGTTGTTTTGGCAGACAATTAATTTTGTGTGTTAATCGATGTGCTCGTAATCATCATTTCAGCTTAAAAACACAAACATCTAAGCAGTCGCCATGATTTTTTTTTATACCTTGTTTAACTTCTCATTTTTTCTCTAAATTAATGATTTTTTGAGTACTTAATTTTGAGTTTAAAAACCTATTATCCCAGCGTTTCACAGCCAGCGGAGCACATGGAGTTTAATTTTATCTGCGTCCGCTAAGAGTGCAACGCTTAAATGATTTAATCTCAGTTTTTAAGTAATTGCAATTTGGACTAGTGAGTAATATTAGATCAAATTTCACTTAATTTAAAACAGCGTTCGGTGCATGACGATAATTCTATTTCAAAGGTTTCATTTTGTAAGGAATAATTTTAAGCGAATTAAGGATTTGTGCGATGCACCCCTTTGTCCGTCCTCACCCTCGATTTGAGATTTTTGCCAGTGATGAATTTTCTTTCATGTCTCTCTCTGTCTTTTGATTCCAGTGTCCCAATAGTCTCTCTCTCTATCTCATTAAGTGCAAAACAAGGAAAAAAAGAGTTTATGTTGAGCAGGATATACTCTCGCTCGCTCCGATAGATAAGGCAGCATTTTGTCTCGCACAGACACACGAGAAACAAACACGATCAAAACAATTAAACACATTCTCATCATTCCTAAAAAAAAAAAAAAATAAAACAATCATGCATTTCGCATGCACATTCCGTCGTAAAATGTAAATCTGTCATACAAGTCGCTAATGTGATTAAAACTGCACAAAAAGCGCCACTTTGCGTAGTGAGAATTAGTTCATAGGACTGCTAGTTCGAACATGTTCAACTCTTTTTAGCTTTTTTTATAATTAAATCTGCCTTTTAGACTCTAGAGTAGCAAGAGATGTGCATGATGGATTAGTTTGCATGCGCGTTTACATTTTGAGAGGCCGTTAGTTTTTAGTTTGTTATAAACACAAGAGTTTTTATATAGGCAAGATTTTCCTACACTTTTTGGTTTTCTTGGAACAGAGCTTGTCTGTGAATCACACAATCACTAACATCAATAGACCTCATCAAATGACTCCCTTCACATTGCTCAGAGTGGCAATTTAATTTTACTCGAAAATTTGTTGTTGAAAAGGCAAAAAGTGTACGAAAATTGGCAAAAGTAGTTAAAAAAAAGAGAATATTCAAAGAATGGCCACTCTGATTTTGAGGATGAGGTCTATTGTGTTCATTCATCATGAGAAATCTAATCGATTGTGTGATTTGCAGGGAAAAGCTGTTTCTACATGGGGTTGAATGATGACAAAACATCGAATCCGTTTTCGCCCAAGGAGCTGCAGCCTTTTAAGTGTTGCCCCTATAAAGACACTGGCAAAAAGAAGGGAAAGAAAGGTTCCGAAAAGTCCGGCAAAGGTGGCAAGGAAAAGAAGCCTAAGCATTATGTAGCCACTTGGTGGTAAAGCGTGTCGCCATTGGCTGATTAATTAATTTAATTCTCATTCACTTTTCATCTAATTGTGATAAGTAATCAGCAGAATAATTAATAATAATTTTGTTTACTTTCTCTCGGCACTTTCTCTTTTTAATCTATGCTGCATCTCTCTCACTCACGCAAACAACAACAACAAAAATCAGCAAATCTGTTTTCGGAGCATTTACTCTTGAGCTGTACGAACTAATTCCTGTCCATCTCATGTCCTGTAGTAGAAGCTATGTAATTAAAAACAGACAAAAATTGTAGATCGTAGCGAGTTTTGACGCAGCACATTGCTTTTTTCGGTCGCTCTTTCGCAATAATAGGTCTTCATTCCGACTGAAATTTCACATATGAAGGCTGTGATGACAATTTTCTAGTTACAAAAAACGAACGGTTGGCCAAAGCTCGCTATTAAAAATGAGGAATTTGGAAAAATTTGTAATTTTGGTAGAACCAAAACTGACAATAATAATTTTTGTACTCGGAAAACTTACTTTTTACCATGGTTGGTCTATATATTATAGCTTTTCTGCTCTGAAATTTTGTTTCTAGCAATTTGTGTTTTGCAAACTGATATCAAGAGCATGAATGTTGTTTTTTGATCTGCAGCATGTGTAATATATACATTTATTAATTCACCACGCTACTATATATCATACAGATTGATATAATATATATTTTGAGATCGGGTACACATCGGAGCTTGTGCAGCTTCGCAATTAATTAAGACAAACAGAACTGCGCCTCAGTTGACCTGAGTGCCAAAAAAATGAGTCAAAACATCCAGTCAAACGCCACTCGCTGCTCACTTATTGAAAATAAACCTTTGAGCGCCTCCTCGCGCAAGAAGTAAAACCGAGCCAAAAACTCTTTTCTTCCCTTGCTGATCCATGGCCCTTAATTTTTTTTTTATGCCTCTCAAAATGGAGAGAAAATCAAAAGAATTTTATCAAATCCTGCATTTGCATGGTGTCTCATTTTCCAAATCTCACGAGCATCTTGGCCGCCGGCACTACGTTTATTGCAATAGTGTCGCGGCTCATTTTGATCATTAAATTAACTCTTTTGACACCGAAATTTAAAAAAAACCTCATCAACAACTCGCTCCTGGCACAAACAAGTGAGTTTCAAATCCCTCAATGAGTATCTCTGCCCAGCACCCGACTTCCTTTTTTTTTTGAAAAATTTCAATCCTATGAAAACATAAATCATAACTTTCCAAGCACTACAAAAGGCACTTTGCAGGAAACCTTATGGAGAAGGGAGGCGTCTTGAGCTGGATTAAGAGCCAGAAAAACGACCAGAGCATTGAGGAGATTGACCGGGATCAACTGCTCAAGTTCATTTCTTCAAAGGACTTCTTGGCCGTCATGTTTTGTAAGTTGCTCTTGCTATAAATTTGAAAGCCACGTAGGCAACCCGCTTGGTTTTCTTGTCTTGCAAGTTGCTTTTTTTCACAATAAAAAAAACGCGCATTTTTAACTTACTTTAAACTCGGAATGAATCACAAAATTTCATTGGCTGATTTAAATAAAATTAATGGTAGCATATAAAAACAATCACAAATTTGGCAAAACTAAAATGACGTTCCACTTAAAATATTTAAATATATATATTTTAAAGATATCAAATAAGAGAGGACTTTTAAATTACAGTTTTCAGACATTTCCCCTCCTAAGTACATAACAATTAATTCAGTGTACATCAAACATCAATCATACTGCGCACATTGTGTATATGAATTGAATTCCATTAGATTCTTGAAACCTTTCAGTTGTGATTGAAAAATTATATAATCTTAATTAAAAATAAAAAAGCAATTTTTTTTATTCTCTATTGTTCAAAGTTCAAAGAATATTCTGTTCCAAATCATTATTAATTATAAAGAAAGAAATTAATAAATAAATTTATATTTTAATGCTTAAATTAAGTATTGAAATAAAATATTTATAAAATTTTGTAATATAATTTTATTTTATTAATTTATAATAAGAAATTTTTTAAACTAAGAGAATTATTTATTATTTATGATTCTGAAAAAATCTATATTCGAATACATTTTTTTCCACCGAAGCCAAGCAATCTTGTGTTTCATGGCACCTGACGAAATAATTTGATATAATTTAAAATTATATAATGATTGTTGCATGAATTATTAATTTTAAATAAAATAATAAAATTAGCATACTTAAGAATTAAATACATTATCTAGAAGGATTTATGCACTCTTTAGTATCTAGGATTGTTTATTTCATGTTCAAATAGAAAAACAGCAGATTCTGGATGGATTAAATGAATCTTTGATGGTTTTATTTGATTTTCTTTTTCTTCCATCAAAAAATGAGATTCTCAAAACTTCTCATAGAACTACCGTTTTTAAAATTCAAACAACATGAAATTGATTTGTTTTAAATTTAATTTCAAGACAATGATGAGGACTACGAGGCTCACAGAGTTTTGAGGCATTTGGAGCTCATCGACGACGAGGCTGCCGAGTACGGAATCAAATTCACCAAGTGCAGTGATCTCTTAATGGCCAAAAAGTTCGGTTTCCGCGAACCACCAGGCATAGTTTACTTCCGCAAAGGAAAGCCAATCAAATACGATGGTAAATGGAAAAGTTTTAAAAATAATTTATTAATTATTCCCAAAAATAAAAAAAAGGTGACATTGATGACGAGGAGGAAGTTCTGGACTGGCTGACAGACCCGGAAAATATGGAGCTGAACGACCACATTGAAAAAGTCAACCGGAAAATGTTCACCAAAATTCAGCAGAGCTCCGAGTACGTCGCCGTCTTTTTCTGTAAGTCGCGTCTCGTTTTTCTTTTGGTCTTTACCAAATTTGTATGCAGACAGCAAGGATTGTCAGCAGTGTCCGCGAGTGTTGGCCGAGTTGGAGCACATCGACGACGAGGCCGACGGTGCCGGAATCAATTTCGTCAAGATCGACGACCGACAAATGGCCAAAGACTACGGAGTTTTCGCCCTTCCGGCCGTGCTCTTCTTCAAATTGGGCGTCAAAGAGCCTGTGATCTACGCAGGTCTTTGTCAAAATATATATAATTTTTTTCGAAAATAATTGATTTTCGTCAGGTGACTTGTACGACGAGGATAAAATCCTGCAGTGGCTGATGACCCAGAAAGACCCGACGGGCGAGGTGATCGAGCACTACATGGGCGACGAATTGCGCCACCTGATTAACACGGCCGAGTCCATGGCAGTCTACTTTTGTGAGTATTTCAAACTAGAATCCGTCAGCAAAGGATCAGAGTATATATAAAAAAAAGTATAAAAAAAACGTTGGTCTGACTCTGCTTAAAATTAATTCAGCAAATTGACGCAGCCTCATTCATCGAACTAAAAAAAAAATAAAGTATATCGCAAACGAATTGGCCGTAATAATATATATAATCAAATCCAAAATTACGCTGCTTTCAGTGTCACTTAATTATTTGAGCTGCTTTTAAAAAGCATTTGACTAAAAATCTGTGTTTATAAATATTAAGCGACGTCGTATAATAAAACTGTGGTATAATCTCACTAATAGGGAATGAAACGTTTTGTGAAATTTGCAAGCGTAAAAAACACTTGCATAAAAGCAAGAAGGAGGCCGAAGGTGCCGCCCCCGACGACCCCAATGATCCTGCAAGCCCGACGGCCGCAGAAGAAACCCCTCAGGATAAAGCGCCCCACAAACGACACCGCGGTACATACCAAAATCAATTGCATTGAGGCTGAATTTAGATGACAGATGATTTTTCTTTCTCATTCCCCTGATTTTTCTAGTAGCAGTAGTTGATGGCCATATTTTAGACGTATATATATACTTTTGGTCTGTAAATATATATATTAGAAACCCAGATCGTGTGACAAAATTGTATATTATCCTCCGTGGTGAAACAGAAAAAAAATACACACATCTAAAAAAAATATCTATAAAAAAAACTTATATCTCGGATTCAAATTTCATCCTATGTCCGTTTAACAACGGAACTTAATTAAGTGTTTTTTATTCGTGTTTTATCTCTATGTCGCCATATAATCTCCATGTTGCCATATTTTCACTCTCTTTCTATCATCTATCTGTTGTTTCTAGTGTAGTTTTGTGTGACAACCACTAATACAGTTCGTTGTTTAATACTCAATGTGTGCCGCCTCTCACCTAGTCATTTTGAATGAGATCTCTCTTATTTTATGTTCATATCTGTTGATCCTCCTCCTTTGGCTCGTTTTATTAAGGGTTCCGTTCACTTTGCAGACAACGACCAGTGCGAACAGTGCGCCAGTATTCTCGAAGAGTTGGAGAACATCGACGACGACTGCGAAAAGTATGGAATAACTTTTGTCAAAACCGAAGTGAGCGAGCCAATTCAATACAATAGAACCGAAATTGATTTTTTTTTTCAAATGCAGGATTACAAGGTGGCGCAGAGTTACGGGATTTCCGACTTCCCGTCCTTGGTGTACTTTGAGAAAAGCACGCCGAGCGTCTACGAGGGCGACCTGAACGAGGAGGAGGAAGTTCTGCAATGGCTCATCACTCAAAAGGTCGAGGACCGAATCGAGTTGGTCACCAGAATCATGCTGGAAACCATGGTCGAGGAAGTGGAATACATGGCCGTTTATTTCTGTAAAACTTTCAAAATACTTAAAAATCCAATATTTTATTTAAAAATAAATCTAGACAAACACAACTGCCGTCCGTGCGAGGAAATTTTGGAAAATCTGGAGAACATAGACGACGAGTGCGACGCCTACGGCATTCAAATGGTCAAAATCCATGACAGTGTTTTGGCAAAACGGTACTCGATCAAAACGTACCCAGCGCTGGTCTACTTCCGAAATGGAAATCCACTCATCTTTGACGGTTGGTTTTAAAATAAAATTGTAAAATTTTAATATAAAATTTGCATTCAAGGCGACATGATGGTCGAGGAGGACGTGTTTCAGTGGCTCATTGAGGACGAAAATCGCGAGCTGGCCGACGAAATTGAGGGGGTCAATTTGAAAATGCTCAACAGACTTTTGGACGATTCGCCCTTCCTTGCCGTTTTCTACTGTAAGAGATGATTTTATTCGGAAATTCAATCTGGCCATTAAATTATACATCATATAAATTGGACAAATATATAAAAGTTAAAAAAAATAGTAAAATATGAAAAATAACGCGCACATTTTTCAAAACAAGTCATACAAATTTCTGATTAAAGTTTTATGAATTCTGGGAATCGAAACAAAAATTAAAATTTATTCGTATTCTTTTTAAGAAAAAAATAATCTCTTTTTATATTCTGTGATCAGATCTGGAAGATAGCGAGGAATGCGACGATTGTGACGAGATTCTGGCTGAACTGGAGGAGATTGACGGCGACGCTGATGACTATGGCGTGGACTTTGTCAAAATCTCCGACCCCGAAGCGTTTACGGAGCACAACGTTGTGGCCGTGCCAAGTTTGATTTACTACAGAAAGAAAACTCCGCTCGTTTATGACGGTTTTTAAAATTTAACTGACAAAGTTTTGTTTACAAATATTTTTTTGGTCACTAATTTAGGCGACTTCCACGACACTGACAGAATTCTCGGCTGGCTCACCTCTCAGGACATTTTCGAGCTGAAGAACGAAATCGAGGAGGTCAGCCGCAAAATGCTTGACAAGCTGCTCGAGGAAAATGATTTTGTCGCCGTCTACTTCTGTAAGAATTCAATTTTTTTTTTTTTTTTAATTTAAAATTTCTAATTTTAAATTCAGACGAGGAGGACAGTCCGATTTGCGAGAAGGTCCTGGCCGAGCTCGAAACTGTGGACCAGGAAATTGACAACCTGGACATCACTTTTGTCAAGATCGCAGACGTAAAGTACGCCCGCAAATGGGGAGTCACAACCTTGCCATCTCTGGTCTACTTCAGAAAGCGCTTCCCCAGCATCTACAGAGGTAAATTTTATCTCAAATTCCCTTAATTAAAAATAAAACATTATTTTTTTGGCCTCTCACCATTTTTTTTGAAGCAAAAAAGTCTGAGAAGTTTTCAATTTCCACACAAGTTTAGTTTCACAGGCAAAATTTTCACTGAGCTTCACTTTTTTTAATGTAATTTTATTTATTTCATTATTTATAATTGTAGTTTAATAAGAATTTGATTAAAACTATTATTTGAAGGTGTCTTAACTGATGAGGCCGACGTTTTGGACTGGCTGAAGAAAAATCGCTTCCGCAGCCCAGAGCTGAGTCTGTTCATGTACGCCACGATCGCCATCGCCCTGGCCTTTGTTCTGTACACGACTTTCCTGATGACCGTGTTCAACAAACCCCCTCCGCCGCCGACCCCGCCTCACCCCAAGCAGTCTTAATTAATCAGGCCGCGCGAGTTTTTTTAGTCAAAAGGCCACCGGTTGGCTTCGGAAAGAGAAAGCACTGAGATGCGTTATTTTATTTTATTTGCCCCTAAACAAAAAAAAACAAGGAAATATTTTGGACAAATTCTGAGATACGGTTTTGATGGTTGACGACGAGCTGCGAGTTTTTCTTGAAACTAAATTCCATGTTAGTTTTTTAGAAGAACTTTGTTTTGACAGTTGTTCGTAGATGTGTCAAATTGTCGGTAGAACTTGATAGTTGAATTTGTTGCTAAGATTTGTAGAGAGTGCCGGATCTTGATTCCAATGAAAATATCTGAATTTTTTCTTTCCCTGTGGCTGAGTGCGAGCGAGAAATGCGTGGGTGCGTGCATGGAACACTTTAATTACGTTCAAATAGTTATGTAAATACGCGACGAGACGTTCGAGGACTGACAAAAAGTGCACATTAATAATTGCAGTCTCCGTAATAAAAAAAAGAATTATTTTAAAACCTACTTTTGTAAGCAGCGTCTGCGGCGCGCGATTCTCGGCTGTCGATTTTTGAACACTTAAAACGGCCTCAAGATGGTGAGATGAAAATGTGACAAACCATTTTATTTAAAAATAAATGACGTACTTTGTACAAAAAAAAATATATTTATATCTCCAATATCATTTCCTACTTTTAACCTTGCAAAATAATGGGAAAAAGAGAAGCCTCAAATTTCAAATAGCTGTCATTTCCTCAAAAGCTCCTGCCGGATAGTAATTAACGCCTGCAACGGAGGGAAACGTGTGGTTAATTTATTGGGGTCGCGCGCCAATATTTCGCGGCGCCTCTGAAGTTTCATCCCCTGCAGCGGTCCGACTCTCTGGACCAAAAAGAAAGAACAGCAAATCGTGCTCGAAAAATTCAATATGAAGGTAATTAGTGGAAAAGGTGCGATTAATCAGGAGATGATTAAAATACGCCCCTTTTCTAGCAAAAGGGTGAACTATTAGCTAATGAGCTTCCCTCCCTTCAGTTAAAAAAGTAATTAATTTTTAGATCAGTTCCAAGCATGCGGATGAATTTGCAGGCGCCAAGAATATGGCTTAGTCATAAATTATTGAGCTTATAAGTATAAAATTGTAAGTTTTACTACTATTGTTGCCCTCATTGCCCTTAAAAAATTTTTCCTCTCTTTGATAATAAAAAAAATCACAGGTCGACAAAAGCATATTACAGACTAAATTTATTTTATAATAATTTCAGAAGTGGAACTATCCAATAATTAAAATATAAATTAATTTTAATATTTTCAGCTAAAACCTGTAAAATAAATTATCTAATTCTTTAAAAATTCATTGGCTTAAATGTAAAATTTATAAAGAACTTAAACAAAATGTAAATAAGATATTAAAAAAAAAAATTTTAAAATTTTAAAATAAAAAAGAAATAGTTAATAATAAAGGCTTTAAGTCTTTAAAAATTTATAGATGTTTGTTAATTTTATTTATAAAAAAATTCCATCATATCGTTTCATTCAAATCAAATGATTCACAGATATCTATTGAGATTATTTAAATTTTGTTTAAAATTGTGACATTTTCGCGAGTTTATAAATGCATTTTAAATATATGAAAAAGCCTGTAGATTTTATTTTATAAAAATACCGAAGGTATTCAAGAATTTTTGCTGTGGATTAATTTTGTCTAATCAACAAGGTCTGCAGTGCTGCCCGGTCAAAATACAAAAACAGATCGATCAGTCAAACTAATGAATCCGCTAATTTAATTTCACGCCTTGCCTTGGAATTAAAAAAATTAGCCACCGTTTGAGCCACCGTAAGAATATTATCAGTGCCAGCAGGGGCGCCATCAAAACGCCGTCCCACCTCAAAAAGCGTGCCATTAAATAAACCCAATTAAATTATTGCCGCTGACCTTTTTGCGGCCCGAGTGTACAAGACAGATAGAGATCGGCCGCGAGCCAACAATATAAAGGCGCTAATTTTCCCCCGCAAGAGTGGACCTTTGTGCAGTGTGGCACCCCCGCCGATTCTCTGAAATTATAGCAATAAAAAATAATCTAAAACCGAGGTGCAGAAGCTTTTCTGTGTTGCGGCCGCCGATATTGCCTCGTAAATAAGAAGGGCGCTAAGTAAGTCTCTAATTAAATTGTAGAAGTAGCCGCAGAATTTCGAAACTTGAGAATTTATTGCGATAAGATAAACACAGAGTGTGTAAAGATTTTGACAAATTCGTGAAATATTGAGAAGAATCGGGCAAAGGAAAGCAATAAATTTAAAAGCAGTTCTCGATTGAGTTGTAATTTTTGCTAATTCCATTAAATTAAAATTTAGATTGAGGAAGTGTTGATTTCAAAAGTGATTATTACCCAAGTGGAATCAGGTTTCCAACTCTAATATTTATATTTTATATACACAAACTGTGCTTAACGGCGCGTGCGTAATCTGTTGGGAAAAAAATAAGGCAACTCATTTTTCATTTAATTCGCTTTTGATATAATCCGCAAACAAAAGAGCGGAGACAAATTTATGCATAAATTAAAAGGCGATGGCGTCATGTCCCGTCTGAAATATCAAACATACAAAAAAACGCTGCTAATCCAAAGCGAGATATTTATATATTTTTATATTATATCATTTAAGTTGATGTTAGAAAAATAACAGATCAGCTTGCAGTCTGAAAAGTTAGAGTGAAACTCAATCCTTGTAGCCCGGCTAGGCTCTCTTTTTTAATACCTGTGCATCGAGCGGTGGCGGCGGCGGCACGCGGACTTAACAAAATAAAACCGCGCTCTCCTGTATAATCCCTTTCCGCCTTTTATCTATAACCTCTTTTTCTCGCGCGCACAAATTGTTTTTATTACGAGCAACGCCGCGACCGCAAATGAGCATTTTTCATTGAATTCGAACGATTTTTTCTTCAATAAAACTGGTTAAAAAAGGGGTTTTCAATTATTATATATTTTTGATGTAATCACGCAGGAGCTGCTGCTTCATTCAATTGTGTCGCTTCTTCAGAAACAAGTCACGTCACCCACAAAAATTGCCCGCCGGATTTGATTGAATGCCTGTTCTTTTTATATATATATGAAGCTTTCGTGCACCTTTGGCTCTTGGGCCGATTTATTTATAAGGCAATTAAAACTTTATATCAATTGAAAGCCACGCGAATTTTAAAGAGGGTCGTAAAATAAGTCCATAAAAGCGAACGATGTGAAAACCAGAAGCTATCATCGAGTTTTTTTATGTTTGAATTTTTTCTTAATTAATGATGATGTGATGAGGCGCAAATGGCTGATCGCATGTCGCTTTTGCGCTTTGATCAAAACATCAAAGGAAGTTTCAGATTTTTGACATGATATTCATAAAAAAATAAATCCATTTTGACGATTGTGGAGGGACGGTAGAAGATTCCTTAAAACCTTAAAAAAGTAGGATTAACTTTCTCTTTATCTAGTGCCATACATATATTTAATTTTGATTGATGAATTTAAAAATTTTAAAATTAATTCATATGAATTTTAAGTACGTCGTCTTCGACACAGATTTAATTTTTGTTTTCTGTAGCGGAGCCTTTTAGCAACAGTATAGATATTATTTCAAAAACTATGTATATAATAAACAATATTATCATAGTTATTGACTAAAACAAATATTTACTTTAAAATGTTTGTCTTAAATTAATAAAGTAAAATAAATATTGAAATAAACTATTATAAAAATAAAATATAAAAAAAGTAAAAGTATGGCTAAACAAAAGCTTATTTTATTTACATTAAATATTTTTAAATATCTATAACCTACATTAGTTCCTTTTTTACTTGCAATTGTCACACGACTTAAATTTAAATTTATTTCAATTTTGAGTGAACGGGTTTTATATACTGCATTTTATTTTTGTGCGCAAAATAAGCTATCGAAGTCCGTTGCAGCGGATTTCTCGCCAAAGTCAAATGAAATCATGGAAAATTTTAACAACCTTCTCTCCCAATGTGATTTTCCATTTCTGTTTGACTTGTTGCGAGAGAATAAATGAATTGAATTGAACCTATTATAATTTTAAAAGCAAAACAATAATTCCCTTGATCCACCACCACAACTGGAGCGGCAGCGCACACGCCAGGTCGGACCTGCCTGCCTGCCGCCCAGGGTGGGTCACGTGACCCGAGTCGCCTCCCCCATCGGCGGGGGGGACACGCGTGTTGCGGGAAATAAGTGGGCATGCGGCGGCCGCGGCTCCTCACACCGGCTGCGAAGCTCGACCTGAACACATCACGTATGCACCATGGCCGACATGCTCCGCTACCTGTACGCGTACCCTGACGAGCAACACCTCCAGCACTTCTACCCGCCGTCGCCGCCCAACTCGGTCAACTCGGTGGAGACGCCGCGGCCCAAGATGGTGCTGGACACCTTTTCCGACGGTTGCCACACGCCCAGTCCGGCCAGCTACCGCTCCGTCAGCCCCCTCAGCGAGGACTTCGAACTGTCGAAAAAGGTGCAGTACACGCCCCTGCTGCCCCCGATGTCCACCCTGAAGGACCCCAGGGTCCACAATCCGCAACCCGCCGTGATGATGGAGCAGCCGCGCGTTTTCAGCCAAGAGCTGCCCATCGGCGAAGACGAGGACGACCTGGAGGACTTTGACGACGAGGACGACCTGGAGGACGACGACAAGTCCTCGTCCTCCAAGGGTAAGCGCCGCTCCTCCAAAGCCGTCAGTCCGGTGGTGATGAAGAAGCGCAGGTTGGCCGCCAACGCCCGCGAACGGCGCCGAATGCTGAACTTGAACAACGCGTTCGACCGACTCCGGACGGTCCTGCCGTCGCTGGGCAACGACCGGCAACTCTCCAAGTACGAGACCCTGCAGATGGCCCAGAGCTACATCAACGCCCTGTACGATTTGACTCAGTGAGTGACCGATTCTCAAAAACAGACTGAACTAATTGCTCTTTTATTTATTTGTATACGTCGAGTGATATATAAGATTAATTCGATAAGTTTTGATAGAAAATGTAATTTTGTATGAGAGTGATTTGAATGAGTGGTTTTGCCTGAATGATCAAATGCTGCTGCTGTGCGTTTGGCAATAAACTTGATGTATGTTGTATAATAATGTGCCATAAATAAGTCAAAAGTGATGTAAATAAAAATTGTACAATTTTTATAATGTATGTAAAATGATACTCAGAGATTTTAAGTCCTTGCTCAGTGCTTTCCTGCCATTATTGTTTAAGATGAACGAAAAATCGACGAAAATAAAAAGAAAATTATTTAAAAATTCACCTCTTTTTCAATTACCAAAAATAAGAACTCCTTACAGAACAAATTAAGACCGACTATGCAAGAAATGACCAAAGAAAATATCTAGAATAAAATTGCTTATTTAATTCTTTTTTTAAATGCTTCAATTAAATTGAGTAGAATGGAAAAAATTTCTTTTTTTATTAACTGCGCATACAGAAAGATTTCTATAAAAAAGATAAAATAAATAAAATAAAACCGCACCTCTATACAAGATGAGTGGCGAAAAATTCAAACACTTTTCAAATATCAAGTAATTACCAATGTAAAAACCCGTGCAATAATAAAAGATTTACCTCTGGGCAGATTTTAAGAACCGTACGTATAAAGTTATTGAGTGACAAGTACGTGCATGTACCGTTGCCCACGTCACTTAGTCAACAATACTTTTGAAAAATCGCCATTCAAAAAATTTGCTGTGGTGTAAAAAGCGGCGAATTTTGCATCGGAGCCAAAGATCACTTGTTCTTGATAAGATTCACAAAGAGCCTCTTTTCCAATGATGTGCAATGTTGGAATTTAAACACAATAATTTAGCAAAAGGCCTCTTAAGAGAGTCATGCATGCAAAGTGTGCTGCAATTACATGCGCAATTACGCCTCAAGAAGTTGTGCATGAAAAGAATTAAACGTTTATTTGAGCACAAATTTGTCTGGCACCTTCTCTTTTAATACGATAGCTGCTGATGATAATTATTGACGTGATAGTCGAAAAGGGCCAGACAGAGTGATACGTGGGGTCCTCTCTTTTTATTTTTTAATTTCGACGCGCCGCGAGAACGGCTGGAAAGGTTAATAAGAATGCTCATCCGAGGGAGGCTGAATATTGGAGCTGGAGAATAAAATATACTGGAAAAAAGGTGAAATGTGAAGCACCGGGGTTAATATCAGGTGTCGGCCAAAACGGCGCATCACGCGAACTCGTCAGAAGAAGTGTAGCATTCTATAACATCCATTCGCCCCTCGGCGGTCGGCCGTGAAATTGGCCAAAACTCGACGGTTCCTCCTGCCTTTTCTACGGAAGCTCGACTTTCAAAAATTAAATAAAAAAAGCAGAGGTCAATTATTTTCAGGCCAGTAGTTTTTGACACACAAAATTCAAAAGAAGATCAAAATAAAAATATGGAAAAAAATTATTTACAAAGAGAAAATTTTTGATTTGCTATTTTATCAATTATATAATTTAAATTTTTTTTATTACACTGCTCACGAACAAAATTACTTATAAAAATCCTTAAATTAAAACAAGAAAGGCCTGAAAAATTTTATATTTTCTTATTCATGGACTTAAAATGAGTTCTGGAAACGTGGATCATCAAAATTTTTGCCTAATTTCAGATTTTAAATACTATTATATTTTATAATAAAAGTAATATTTTGGACTTAACCATCAAAACAAAAACTATGATTTTGTTACATTTTTGGGCCAGTTAGAGGCAATTTAAATATTCATGGATTATTTTAGAATTTATATGTATATTTTTTACTCTGCTTATTACTGTTTTTGAAATATGTGTAGCAAAGGCAAACTAAAAAATGAAATTACAAGAAGTTTGCTTTTCAATTTTTCCGAAAAACTTATATAAACAGATAAATTTGATTTTTACTGTATTCAAACAAGTGATACAAGGTGATTTTGCATCCGCATTTTCGCTTTTACATTTGTGTGATAATTTTTTATTTGTACTCTAAGTTCATTGTTTTCAAAATTTTATAAAAAATTAAGTTAAATAATTTAAAATGTGCAGGATTTTAGAGCAAATCCAAACAAAATGAATTCCAAAGATTCATAATTTTATATTATTTATAAAATAATTTGTGAAAACAATCTGCTGAGAAAATATTCAATCAACTTACTTGTTCACGGCTTTAGCTGGTAATAAAATTTGAGAATCAAAGTATTCATATTTTAACAGAGAATTTTTCACCACGTACTTATAATGTTATTATTTATTATTCTCAAAGTCCGTAGATAATTTTAAAAGTATTTAATTTATTTCCTTTTACGGTTTATTTTGGTGTATCACTTAACCAAATTGTGGCTTTTGCGTTTAATAAGCAACAAGCGGGCGGCCGCACACCATTAAATTTGCATGTACCGAGGAGCAGATAAAGCCCTAAAACTCCTTCTCATCTCGGCACCAAAACAAACTCCTTTTTCTTGAAACCAAACACTCTGGCCCGGTCGGTCGGTCTGCCAACAAAAAAGAAATTCAATCCACAGCGCTAGAGTGGCACGGCAGTTTTTAAAGATATATTCGCCAGCCAGGTATTGAGTTTATATGTAAAAATATAACGCATTGCTTAGATAGGTAAGAAGAACTTAATCCTCTGGGGCCTGCTCTCGTAAAACGGCTCATTTAAGGGCATTTAGCGCGCTGTGTGTGCCAATAATAATTCGCCCGTATTAATTTTCAACAAAACTCGATCGGGCCAAATTTTCAGCGATATTGAATTTTGTAATTTAAGAAACTCATTACTTTTAGTTGGAAAAAATGTGAAGGATTTTAAGGCAGGGCCCTGCGAGAGCGTTGAATATTCATTAAAAATTGCTTCCTTCCTTTTCTTAATATGCTCGCATTAAAAATTTTGGGCAAAAAAACGCCCGGGTGTTTAAGTAGTCATCAGCGTTTTGTTTTTTGTCAAGCTTTCCTGTTTGACTTTTGTACAAGTTAGGAAGAAAACCCTATAAAGGTTAAGAGAGGAGAGGCACTTCCTCCGCGGCGCTGCTCAGGTAGCACACAGAAATGATATGATTGAGATGAGTTTCCGCTCCGGAGAGAAGGTGACCTGCTCGCGACTGCCTTCAAAACGCAGCAGGTCACAAAACCACTCCCTCACACAAAAAGCAGTCGTGAGAAAATTATTTTCTAGAAGGGATTTAAAAGAAAAATCTCATCCCTTAAAATTTTATAAAACAATTTCTTCTCAAAATAACTAATCAAATATATAGAAATATAATATTATAATAATAATATTTATTATTTTATTTACAATAATAAAAAATTGAATATTTTATATGCTTACGAGTCTTATTGTTTTTCTCACTAACACACTTATAGGACTTATAGTATAACTCGATCCTTTAAGATGCAATACATCCGTATTTTTATTTTAAATATTGATGGGAACATTGAAAATCTGTTGATTTATGTTAATTACATTAATTTATTTTTTGTTTTGTTTTTATCTTTTAATATGATTTTTAGAGGCTTTTTATAATTACTTTTTAATTCCAAAATTGTTCTTTCGGTCCATAATTAATATTAATAATTTTTAATTTTTATATGTTTTTTTTTTACAGTTCAACTAATGATTGCGATATCTGTTCCATCAAACTGTGGCCAAGAAAGAACAATTTTTTATTTCAAATTATACTTGCGGTACAGAATCACTAATTAAGTAAATATAAAAAAATATAAATATTCTAAAAAAGAAATTTCTATAAAGATGTTGCACAGCTTGCAGGGGTTTTTCAATTTGCAACACACTATGCGTAAATCTTTCAATATCATGCAGAATAGAGTTTATTTTTCAGAAATTGATCAGTTTAATAAAATAACAGCAGACCCAAATGAGATAAATGAGCTATTTTTAGATGATTGGCGCGAACTTTGGAAATTCTGCTCTAATCTTTTCGTACAGATTTGACCAATTTGACCCGCTCTGGGGAGTAAATGTTTACGAAAATAGATCTTTTGGGTCAAATAATGTCAATCGCCGAGCCACTCATATAAATTAGCTTGCTCGTCCCGAACTGCTCTGCACTTTCAGCAAAAAGATGAAGGAATTCAGTGCTCAATGCATTTGGGCGCTCGTCCTTCTCTGCCTCAACTTGAGCCCTGTTCTACTTCAGGTTGTCTCCGAGACAGAAATAGTGAGTTTTTTCTATAAAATTTTATATATAATTTTGATAATGCATTAGGTGAACGCGGCCGAGTGCTTGAAAAACAGGAAACCAACAGTGACGCCTGCCCCAAGTATTTTTGTTTTGAGAATTTTGCAATTTTTTTATAATGCAACTTACTTTTTATTTTAACGACTTAATTGATGCGCTAGCAAAATTCCATCCAAGCAAACCAATTCGCTTATCTTTATAATAAAGTTTAATTTTTTCGGAAGAGAAATGATGGCTCAATTTTCATCACAAAAAGAGATAAATTATTGATTTTCATGAATATTGGGACATTATTTTTGGTTTATAACACATTATCTGAATTAAATATTATTTTTAAAAAAAGTACCAAATTTATTTAATATTTTCACATAAATGAAAATTATTTGAAAAAAGATGAATTACAAACAAATATATAATTATTATTTTTTTTATTCAACATACCTATTAAACCTATTAATTACTATGTGGGCTTCTTCATAATTATAAAATTTTAGTTTTTCGTCACGGCGAGGAGAATTTAAGTTTTGAGGATTGCGGAGTGTGGATTGAACGTGAGAATAATGGAGGAATTCCTCCTTGGTCGCTCATCCTCAGGGTCAAGGGTTCCGACCGCCACTGCCGCGGCTTGGTCATGTCTGATGAAAAGATCTTCTCATTCGGAGGTTTAAAGACGATAATTTTGTCTTTCAAAAATTATTAATTACATTCATTATAATCAGATCAATGTGACGGAGTTTATGAAGATTTCTTGAAGGATGAGACCGTTTCCATTTACAAACACCCGTGCCACAACAGACACATTGCAAACTCATGCTTTCTTGACCAGACTCTGCAAAGACCAGAGGTGCGCAAACTAAAATTATTTACTGAGTATAAATTAGGCCAAATGTTTCCATAATTATCAAAAATCCGGATACATTAAAAATTAAAAATGAAGCAGTTTAGCAGTTGAAATAAAAATATGCTTCAGTTTTCCGGTGATGAGGAACGATGTTTTGTATTTGAGAGAGCATTT